TCGAAATTTTGAAGCATATCTCGCTTTACACATGAGCCCGCAGTATGAAGAGCTTAGCTGTTTTTGAAGTTACTTATCCAATGAAATCTGACCAGCCGTTCTTAAATAACGAATAATCACATACTCTTAAAATACATAGACGTGCTTCAGTCACATCATTATTTATGCAATCAATAATAATAAAATTGCAATTTTAAGCCCGCTATTTTATTATTGTAGGTCCCTAGCTGTAGTATTCTCTTGATCGATTTCGGCGATGGCCAATCTCACTGAGACTAGAACTGCAGATGTTATTTAGCAGTGCGTATTCGCGCAAGCACAACGTACACTCTCGTCTCTCAATGCCTGTCCCTCTTAAATTCCGGTCTAAGCAGCTCTAATCGCATAGTAACCTGTTATTCCAGGTCATAGTGTATCTTCCCCCCAATGTGTGGCAATCCAGCCGGGCGCGAATCCAAGAAATACACTGGGAAATGGCCCATTTCAGTGGGCGGTGTATCATGGGGGTTGCCTGGTACTTTTTTTTATTGAAAGATAGGCTTGAGCTTGACTACAATCCCCGCTGAGAAGTACTGGTGAGGTCTAGGTTGAAGCGCGTTTGCCTAGAAAAATGTCTGTTCACTTATCTGATAGCAGAGTGGACCGTGCGAGCAACCTATTTTTTTGACACTTTCGAACACTTGCGTATGTTTTAACGATTCCTTTTTGATAAATAGGATGAACCTAGAGGGTGAAACTTAAACTTTTCTTTAACCCCCGACGCAAAAAGAGAGGTATTATAAGTTTGACGTCGATGTCTATCTGTCTGTCTATGTGTGTGTGTCTGTCTGTGGCATTGTAGCTCTCAAACGGATGGACCGATTCCGATGCCTTTTTTTTTCATTTGAAAGCCAGTTGGTACTTAGCTATGTTTGGTTAGTGTCGGTCCAGCAGTGTAAGAGTATCAGCTCTTTTTCAAAATGATGTAAGGCATTTTGGCGTATTATTACTCGATTAAGTGCTTCACGCGTGCCAGTGTAATCGTTAAATGACAATTAATTTGCGTAGGGGGTTTTTTAAATTTTTAATTTATAATAATCTACTTTTACTAAGGATTTTTTATCCTCATAGAATATGTCAGTCCCAACATAACGTAACTTAATATTAAACCCTACAAACCAAGTCAAATGAAGTCAGGTTAATTACTTAGTTAAGAAGTAATTATTTTTGTTTCATCTACACGTATTTTTCTACAGCATACTTTTATACACTGCGTTAGGGAATGCAATCTCGAGACGAGATCGCCAAGTCCAGATCTCGAGGGATTAAAAATTCGATCTCGGCGAAATCTCGGCATCTTCAAGATCTCAAATGGATTTCGAAGACGATTGTTTTAATTAGATAACTGAAACATGATAGAAACTGCTTAGTAGTTGTGATTATGATGCGAGTAAGATACAACATGAATTATTGAAAAAAAGTTTATTTTTATAATTTTTTACTTATGTTAATGAACACAAAAATTCAGACCCGTAAAATCTCTTATAAAGAAAGTACTTATATTAATAAAGTTAACGATAGTAAAAACAAAAAGGATGGGTGTCAATAACTAAAATAACAGTAATTTCCCATATAAATCACGGAAAATGAGGGTTTTCTAAAATGATCTCCGTGAGAAGGCAGGACTGTAGCGTCAGGTCCAATGGACTGTCAAAATACATACGCGAATTGTAATTTTCTATATATTTTTTGGTTTATTTATTCTTAAAATCATTCCTTCAATTTAGTAGTTAAAGAACGAAATCGAATTGTGTAAACAAATTCTAGTACGTTACGTTACCTACCTTTCAATGAGTTTTTCCTTTGTACCAGTGACTTTTGCGCCCCTTTTTTTGAGCTCAATCTTCAGTTCAGCGATCTTCTTCTGACCGTAATCCATAATAAAATCAATAAAACTTCCAAATACAATAGAATTTCAATAATTTATGTTCAGTACCTACGACTCTGTGCTATTTGACAACTGTTTGGACCTGACGCCTACGAAGCGCCGCCTAGTGGCAGAAAAAGTATCGAAAACCCTCATTAAATAATTTCACAGAACACTATTATCTAATACTTTCTTAGATTTACGCGAATATTTGACATTTTAAATAAAACTGTCTTTTCGGATTATTTCGTAGATTTATTTTGACTTTTGGTTCCCGACGTTTCGAATGCTTTACAGCATCCATGGTCACGGGAGAGACTGAGTTGTTACATGTCTTGAAGGTATAGTTGTTACAGACAGCCTACCTACAATTAACAAATGAAAAATTGCACCAAGTACCTTACAATATTTTATAATTTTAAACAATTTATAATTTTAATTTGTTTTATAATTGAATATGGAATATTATTTATTAAATTTTTGCTGTTATCATTATAAAAAAAAAATTTCGAAGTCGATGCTAGCCTACAATATTTTAAAATATGAATATCTAATAGGTAAATGTGTCTTACGTATCGAAATATACCTATTAGATTTGCTTTGCATCGGCTGGCACCGACTTCGAAAATATCTGATTAGGTATCTATTCTAAATAAAAACTTCCGTTTAGTTATTTTTTACATTTTAGTGCCTGGAAGTCGGTTTTTATTTTTTGTTAAAAGTTTTTATATGTAAGTAATTTTATAAAGGACGAATAATTATTTTTTATTCGTCCTATTCAAGGACCAATAGACACTTCATGATGTACTTTAAAATATACCTATGTGAATGACGTTAGAATATTATGCTCATTATGTTAATATTTATACAAGTGATAATGCTTAAAATTAAAAGCAATGTAAGGTCAAAGGCGGTTAATTGTGTCTAATATACCCGTGTGAATAAATTAAATAATTTTAGAAACTAAATTATATGTTAAACACAGAAGTTTATATTTTAAATGGCAAGAATTAGAAATTTAATTATTTATAAACTACTTTTCATCTACTTTTACGAAAAACTCAGGCCTCAACAATATCATCTTTGTAGATATATCGTATAGGTACTCGGGTACTGCGGGCCGGTACTTCTATTCAGCCCTGTATACTTCCCACAACTGGGCACAGGGGGATCGGGCCGTTACCTGAAGGTGGAAAAACCTATTTCCACCCTTTATATAATAGACACGATCACATCATATCGAGAGATAACATATAAAAATATTCTTATATTCGCATTCATTATAATATGAGTCAGGATATATTGCTTATATACATATATAGATTTAGTAAGTAGGCACATATGATAAAACTAGATGTTGCCCGCGACTTGGCACGTGTAGTCGTGTCAAGGAAAGCCTTTATGTTAACTTAGAGACTTGACTGTAATCTATATTCACTCTATATTTTACTCAATTTCGTTGAATTGTTACAGTTCGAAGATGTTTCAAACAAACACAAACACTCACAACCTTTCTTATTTAGAGTAGTCTTTACTATAGATATCATATTGTATGTATTACGATATCAATGGTCTTTATGCCTACAACTACTTTTCTCCCGCGACTCACGAACACGCGTATACGAGTCTATCGCAACCGGTAAGTCGCAATTCTCATTTCGACCGATTAAAATATATTTACTCTGTGTATAATGTTTATAAAACTAACAATATTAAATAAAACTATCTTTTCGGATTATTTCGCGGATTTATTTTGATTTTTGGTTCCCGACGTTTCGAATGCTTTACAGCATCCATGGTCACGGGAGAGACTGAGGTGTTACATGTCTTAAAGATATAGTTGTTACAGACAGCCTACCCACAATTAACAAAATGAAAATTGCACCAATTACATTACAATATTTTTTAAAATAAAACATTTTTTAACTTAAAAAAAAATATTGTAATGTAATTGGTGCAATTTTCATTTTGTTAATTGTGGGTAGGCTGTCTGTAACAACTATATCTTTAAGACATGTAACACCTCAGTCTCTCCCGTGACCATGGATGCTGTAAAGCATTCGAAACGTCGGGAACCAAAAATCAAAATAAATCCGCGAAATAATCCGAAAAGATAGTTTTATTTAATAATGTCAAATATTCGCGTAAATCTAAGAAAGTATTATGTAAACTAACAATAACATATCCACAGATGATAAAACAATTAGAATTGCTATTGTTATTGAGTAGCACTGTCTACTGCTGTTATTAGTTCCAAAAACAGCCACCTGGGTAATCTTATAATTGTCAATAGAAACTGAACTCATTTAGAAGGATTTATTCCATTGATCACACTAATATCTAAATATGTTACAACCTTGATTTATTCGCCAATATCGATATTAACTATAAATATGTTAAGACATTAAAACACAGCACCATTCAATTCCATGGTAAGCTACGAGGCTTGTGGTATGGATACCAGATAGTTGATACACTATACATATATAACTTTAAATACATACATATAATAAATATAAACACCCATGACTAGAGTACAAACATTCGTGCTCATCACACAAATGCATGCACCCAGCGAGACTCAAACCCGCGACCGCTGGCATGGCAAGTAGGGTCACTACAAACTGAGCCAAACGTGTCGTCAAATTAACTATTAACTATTAACAATAAAAAATAACACCTTGACCTACAATTCCTAAACAGCAGTATTGACTCTTATCATATCAGAACATATCACAGTATCACTGATAACAGTGAGTCAGATGGGCGTCGCACACACATTGCCAGATATGTTATACGCGTTTCATATAAAATATTTATTGTCTTTAGAACTTCTATTGAAATTGGGCAGAATTTACAGTCGACATTCAGGATTTCAGTGAATTTTAGAACAAAAAATTCGGAAAACAGTGCATTTTAATAGTTAATTTCGATTTAAAATAAAGCTAGTGCAGTTTTTAAAGTAAATTAATAAAAATACAAAATGCCGTCAAAAACGTGTTCGATTAATTAGAAGTTTCATGAAAGGCATTGTGTTGGATTTATTCTATTCTAATGTTATTTTGTTAAGTGTTTTGTAACGATTGGTTCCAAAATGAGTATCAAGAGAGTTGAAGCAGACGTGGAGGACGGCAGGGCGAAGGAGAGTCCTTGTTACTTCTGCGGGGACACGTTCGAGATGGGAAAGTTACAGGTTAAAAAAATATACTTACTAGAAACTACATGGTTATAATTAACTATTTGATTTTTATACTTATGTATATGTTAGAAATCCTAAAAGATAATTTTTTTGAAAACTAACGACTCAGCCTCGTTTCGCTCGGGTTCATCACCATCGCTTGGTACGTTTTAATATTTTTGAGCGGAATCATAATTCTTTTTCTAAAATAAAAGTAGCCTAAGTCACTCATAACATCAGCTATATGCTAGCGCCAGTCCCGTCTAAATCGGTCCAGCCGTTTCAGAGATTAGCCACAAACAGACAGATAAGCAAACATTTTAAAAATTGTGTTTTTCTTATATGTACCTACTCGTACCGTATTAGCTTACTGTATGCGGACAATGGATAACTTACAAACGGACACTTTTTTTTTCTGTATACCTAGATGTCAAAAATTCGCGTAAATCTAAGATAGTATTATATAGAATTTGTATATTAACTAGCGATTATGACAAAACTTTAACTATACTCGTAACTTACATAGGTAGGTATATTTGGTTTTTAATAATACTAAATTGAAGAGTTACAGGAACAATAATTTATTTATTTAAAATTCTTTTGGCAAAATAATTTTCTTAAACCATAAACCATTTACAACTTGTAACTTGTTTTACTGTACCAATACACATAGGTATATCCCAAGGTCTGCAGTGTAAGAGATAGTAATTATTATACCATAAAGGAGGTGATTTTAGATATAAAATCAATTAATGACATTAATGAATACTAATTAAGAGAATATGCAAGAAAATAAAAATAAAGCTATTTTATACGAGTATTTCCAGCCTATTAGAAATGGAAAGTTATCTGTCGAGATAATTTGAAGGTTTGCGGAGGAATGCAATCGATAACATATATTTACTGCATGAAATATTCTATAATGATAAGGTGTAATAAATACAGTGGCGTATTTTAAGATTTGATAACCTTATTGTTTTTATAAAAGAATAAAAAAAAACGGTCAAATGCCAGCCGGAATTATGGCCAGTTTTAATAGTTCGAAAAAAACCCTGAATACTAAATTTTAAACTCTAAGTCTCAAAGATTTTGGAATAAAAAATGCACAAAATGTGAAACCACAGTCATTGTCAATTCGTGTTTTAATTAGATTTAGGGCATGTATTCAAATATATGTTCACAAAAATCATAGATTTTAGGCTTCCATATTAGAAGAGTCGGTCTCCTTTCATCGAGTCTAGTCTAAAAAGGCATAATCTTGTTACGTATTGATTATCCATGTCTTTACAAAGTAAGTATATTATATTCACTCACTGAAGAACAACCTTAACCGCTGGGTCTAAAAAAATGTAACTATATCACAGAAGAGTAAAGTTTCTATAGAAAATGACTTACGAATATCTAAGTATGTACCTTAAACCATAATAATTACTTACTGTTTACGATTATTTTATGATTTTAATATAAATAATTAGAATTAGAATTCAACAGATTCTACCGAGTACTTATCATTATAAATTCTTAGGAGTATGTAGTAGGTGTACTGACTGTTGGTTCGTTTGAAGTATTATGTCATCTGTGGTTGAGTGTGTTTGTGCGATTATTTGTTTTTCTTGCGTATTATGAATATCGCTATATGAAAATATGTAAATTAATGTTCAAGCTTCTGTTTCTGGTTGTCTCGACGGGATAACCCATCAGGCTCAATACTTTTAATATTTAATTACTTATCCTGTATGGTTCATCCTCGCCCAAATAAAACCGCTTTAAAATACCAAAATGTGGAGAGCGTGTTATTAATTAATATTGACATGGCCAACTTCCAAATTAGATTTTTTTGAAATTGTACTCTTTAATAAGATAAAAATGGTACACATTTAAAAGAATATAAATGTTTGACTTAACATATTTTTCAGGATCGGTCGACAGAAGCAATTTCCTAAATAATAATATTCCTACGTCGACTTTTTAGTAAAAATCGTATCAAATTTTGTATTAGGTACGTTTCGTCGTGATATCGACGGACACAACGCTTTAATTTAGCGAATCAATAAAATTCTAATGTACCTATTTCTTGATTATAATAAATTATAATTTACAGGAAAAATACTAGGAAACATGCCAATTAGGTATTTACTTAAAATATTTGCTACATAAATTCTACATTTTGCAATTTTGTTTTAAATCTTCACAGTAGGTACGTGTGATACCAAATGTATTTGTTCAAGGCATTACGTATTTTATTTTGTATCGTTTAATGTGCTATTAACAAAAGCTTTTTTTTGTTAATTATTTACTGAATTAGTCTTAAAATACATGCTATAAAATTTTTCGAAAGCTCTTTCATTCGATTTGGATTTTATCAAACTTGTCAAACAAACAATCACCATCTCCATCCAATTATTCGTGGTCGGCGCAGTACACTTGCGTACTGCTGATACGATTTGGCAAAAGCTTTACGACCGCCTTAGGGTATAGGGTATGCCTGACATCAGCCCTCCTTGGGAACTGCTTGCTGGCTTTGTCAAAACAAACCAAAGCAGTACAAAGTCAAGAGTTCTACCAGTTATTAAAAATGCCTTTATGTATCTTCCGCTTCAATTAGCCATAGAAGAGTTACTACTATTCACTTTCTGGCTCTATTGTGAGAGCCTCGTTGTCCAAGTGTAATATATTAAACTTGTGAAAAGAAACTAAATAAACCGAAACGTGGAGTTCACTAGAAGCCATTTCGATTTTCTTCCCGGTTCCATTAGATCATCTCGATAATACCAAATTATTATATAGTGTTTTCAACTTTAAAACTTAAAATCTGCAAAGGTGAAGTCGCTATAATAGTTAGAAGTAGGTAAAAATCGTAAAATTGCAAAAATAGTAAAAAAGTATAAAACTGAGTTAAAGGTAATTTCGGGTTGATGTTGTGTACAGAATCATTTGAAACAATGCGGCAGCATCTTAGAGCAGTGCCCACTGCGGTGCGGCGCCTGGATACAGCGCAAACACAAAGACACTCACGTGAAGGAATGCCCGCTGATGGAAAAGGTAAATAATAAATATTTCCTACTAAAAAGGTACACCGGCTTCAAAATCACAAAAAAACACTTCAAATTTTAGAGATCGAATTTTTATTGTTTTATATAATATGTATAATTGCTGCCTCGGTGGTGTAGTGGCTAGCATGTACGGCTGCACACTCGGAGGTCCTGGGTTCGAGTCCCGGGTCGGGCCAAGTTTAGTTATTGAGTCTTTCTGTATAGTAAGCCTTAGTACCACCCCGGAGTTGGAAAGTTGGCGGTGTTTCACCCCCGTGCCTCGGAGAGCACGTAAAGCCGCCGGTCCTGCGCCTTAACTCTCACTGGTCGTGTCGAGCAGTCGTCCCACCGGAGTATGAGAGAGACAGGAATAGAGAGTGCACGTTGTGTCTGCGCGTACACTTGTGCACTATAATATCTCCTGCGCAGTTGGCTAGTCTCAATGAGATTAGCCGCCGTGGCCGGAATTGGCTAGGAGAACATCATAATTTTATTTATAGAAAAACATCAAACTCTGTTCACAATTAACAAAAATACACAAATAATATTCATCACTAACAGAAATTGAGTATTTTAAAAAGAGGAAGTAGTCTTATGTACATAAAGATGGCGCAAAAAACCGTCCATTCATTTTCGTGTCTCGTATGAAAATATGTTAGTTTTTCATGTTTTAGACCCTACTTATTAAAAAATCAATTCAAAATTCAAAAATCGTTTTATTTTCTTTTTATTATATCATTTTCTAGATTGAAAAAGGTTTTGATTCTGAAAATTTCAAATCAATATTTTAATTTCTAAACTAGCTCATAATCATTGTACTTATGTACCTATATAAGTACCTATTTTTATTTATACTTTATAATTTAAAGACAATTATTCGTTAAATCGGCCCTTTACCTTCTCTTTTCATCCACAGAGTCGTAACGTCTCGTCCGCGAGTCACGTGAGGGTGTCAGACCCGGTGCCGCCGGTCGTCATCAACCACACGTGGAACGCCAGATCCATTCCCTTAGAAGATTGTGTGTCTTTTCTCGAGAAAGAAGTCGCTGCTATCAAGTATGTATTTGGAGAGATTGGATGGTAATAATAATATTTTAATATGAAATATTGCACTTCGCGATGAATTTTATTCTTCAAATGACCATTCTCTAGATATCAATAAAACCATCATGACCAATCGGATATACAATCATTGAAGTCAATAAAAAATATATAGGACTAAAGTATGTATAAAACTTTAAAATTTAAGTATTTAGGGAACCTATTGTTTTTTTGTAGTCGGTTAAAATAAATACCTACGCAATAAAGTACAATATTAAAATTTTGACGATTTGACGACACGTTTGGCTTTGTAATGTTTACTTGCTGTGCCAGCGGTCGCGGGTTCGAGTCCCGCTGAGGGCATTCATTTGTGTGATAAGCACGAATGTTTGTACTCCAGTCGTGGGTGTTTATATTTACAATATGTATGTATTTAAAGTTTTATATGTGTAGTGTATCAACTATCTCGTATTAATAACACAAGCCTCGTAGCTTACCATGGGACTAGATGGTACTGTGTGTTAATGTCCCACCATATTTGTTTATTTATTTGACGACTACTATTTGTAGCGTATTAGCATTAATAGTAATTAGAAATATTGTTTTAAAATAATATAAGTATATTTTAAATATTATTTTCAGACTAGTTATTACTGAAGAATCAAGTCATCGCGACATACAATCAACAGAGTTAGAGAATATCCGATCGAAGTTAATTCTGGTCGAAGAACGCACACAGCATTTCCTTTCAAATATAGTATCTCTTCGCGCGACTGTTGATGATGAGGCGGAACGAGCTTCGAACTGGGCCGCGCAGTTCAAACACGACGTTTCCAATGTGCAATTAGCCTTACAGGTATTTATATCAAATTGTTAATATACTTCAATTGTAGAGTTCTTTTAGTAAATAGGTCATTCAGTAAGTTGACAACACTTTAAATGTTTGCTTAATATTAAATAATTTGCCGTTACACTTTTTTAGATTTACGCGAATATTTGACATCTATAATATAAAAATGAATCGCTGAATGTGTTGGTAAGCGCGAATCTCGAGAGCAGTTGAACCGAATTCGCTAATTCTTTTTTTAAGAATATTCCTTGAAGTACGAGGCTGGTTCTTACGGAGAAAAATTAAAAAAAAAACAACACTTTTCTATACTCCCATACAAAAGATCGTAGAAGATAGATCGTAATAATACTTAAAAGTCAATTTGAACTTTAATACCATACCATAAAGTTTAAGTGTTAGTGGAGAGGTTCCGGGAAGGCAAAAAAATTAAGTGAAGTTAGTATACTCCCCCCACGTGCGTTCACCTTGTCGTGGTGGGGGGCTCAGTAGGGCCCGGCAATACAGCCGGGCGCGAAGCCAAGAAACGCACAGGGAGGTGGCCCACTTCGGTGGGCGGTGAAAGGTGGCCCTCTTCGGTGGGCGGTGTACCATGCGGGTTGCTCCTGGTACTTCTCTGATAGCAGAGTGGACCTTGGAGCAACCCCATGATTGTCGTGGTCTGCCTCGGTAGACCTGCCGTCGGGGCGTCGTAGTTGAATGCGTAAGCGATCCTGCGACGCCCCATTAAGACGGAGGAAGATTTTGTTGGGTTTTAGTGGCTAGTACTGGCTTCATTACACCGGTGAGTCCCACACCTCGTGAGTAAATGCATTTCCCAACGTTAAAAAAAGTGACGTTAGTATCGTATAAATATTAATGTCAATATTATGAACAAAAAAAATTAAATTTATATGGCTAACGCTGACTAATAACTATTTATATCTATTTAAACCGTACCAGTTTTAAATAAAAGTTTCATATCGGATTTTTTCGTAGATTTATTTTGATTGTTGGGAACTAAGAATTAAAATAAATCCGCGAAAAAATGCCAAAAAATTGTTTATTTTAAATGAAATAAAGCAATCCTGGTGTAAGCCTGGTAGATGGATATTATTATTAACAGTATTAACACACTCCCTATTAGTATTTAAAACTATTTCCGTATCCTAAATATCATTCATGTTATCCAAATTGTCACCAATCTCATCACATCTCAATGGTGTGTATAACATTTCAGGAGCTGCAGAATCAGCAGCTGAATACTGTGATGAGGCTGGAAAGTGCTATCAGCAGTATAGTGCATGAACAGAACGAGAGGGAGCTACTGGAGCAAGCTCTGACCCAACATGATAATAGAATCCGGACGATAAATAGTTTAGGTACCTATTCAATCGCAATTAAGTTTATTTTAAAGTAAATCACGTGCAATGGCATGTTCTCGTCTACTAAAATTCGACTAAAATTTCCAGTGCCATTAATTCGTTTCAAGTTGCGTCTCTAGGTACATTTAATATTTTTTGAGCGGAACCCTAATTCTTTTTCTAAAATAAAAGTAGCCTTTAAATTACCCCTATTACATCAGCTATCTGTCAGTAAAAGTCTCATCAAAATCAGTCCAGCCGTTTCGGAGATTAGCCGAAACATATGCAGACAAAAAGTAAAAAAAGTGTTTTACTTATTAAGTTATTTTATTATATAATTCAATATGAATTTACTAAAAAGCTGTTATTTTGACATTACAAACAAACACTTTTAATTATCTGTATAGATTGAGCTAGTTTTATATTTATGCCATCATAATATTTTTCAGAGGAAGTCATTGAGTACATCAAACGAACGGTAGAAGAAGAAAGAGAAAGGAATGCGGAGAGTCGCGCAATGTTGGAAAACGAGCTGCTGGAAGCACGAAGATCATCGGAGCAGGTTACACAGTTGGCCACTTTGAGATTGCAATTGGAAAACGCTGCTACTGGTGAAAGACCGGTAAATATCACTTTAAATTTTATTTTGGTATTTATTTGATGTCTTAAAATAACCATTTTTAACGTAATATAGCTTTATTGAAAAGGACTTTTTACTGATGAAAATAGAAATATAATAATAACTTAACAATGACTAATAATAAGTTAATGGTTCTTTAACCATTAGTTAATTCCTTTCGTCTACGAATGGAAATCTTAATGTCCAACGTTATAATCTAAGCTGTTCTTTTACACCATCTTATACACCGGACATTATAAAATTAATCGTGGATACATTTTGAGCACTATACTCCAGGCAATAGACCGCCTAGCAGTGCTAGAAGTAGCGACAGCAGACGCTCGAGCCGAAGCGGCCGAGCAAGGTACGAGGATGGACATCGTGTCACGAGATCTGCGAGCGCTGACCAAGTCCTACCACAAGATACGCAGCGAGCTCGCCGACTTCCAAACTAGGATCAGTTTGGATAGCCCTGAGTTTGGTGGAGACGATGGTAACTATATATAGCTTTGATGTTTCTTTTACTCCAGGTTGCTATAAATATAAAATACACTTTATTCAAGTAGACTTTTACAAGGACTTTTGAACGGTCAATTTTACATTTTAAATTTAATTTAAATGTCAGTGTAGTCAGTCCGTGAGGAATCTACCGCCGCCGGCTCGGAAAGCAGTTATAATAAAAAAAACACTTATGCAAATATCTTTTATATATTAAATAACATTTTTATTTTTATTATTAGTATTTTTATATTAATTTTGGTCACCATTTTTTGCGCAAATTATTTCTTTTTGATTCAATCAATTGAACCACATATTTATTAGACACATTGGTTTATGAATTTTAATAATCTTTATATTTTCTAATTTTTCAAAGCCTTTTATGTTCTTATTTCACCATAAAAAATAAGCACACCTATTTATTTTTTCAGGTCACCTAATTTGGAGGATAGATAAGTTCACGACTCGGATGAAGGAGGCAAAAGAGAATGACGCGGTGCTGACGAGTCCTCTCTTCCGTACCAGCAAATATGGATATACACTTAAGGTATTAAATATATAAACATATATTTATAATTTGCATATCCATTATGTCTTGTTATTCATGTTCATGTAGGTACATTCTACATACATATTCCATCTGTATGTCCATTTGTCCCAAATTGATCTTAAAGCAGATGGACAGTTTTGGCGGATGAAAAATATTTTTATATCTCATTTATTTTTTAACGAGAGCTAGTTTCTTAGTAATTTTTATGAATTGTGTAAAATGTTCTGAAATATTTTCTAGGCAGAAGTAAATCTTAACGGTATAGGCAAGTGGAAAGGACGTCACTTAACGTGCACGGTGCGGCTCGTCTCAGGGCCGTACGATCCGCTGTTGGAGTGGCCTTGCGACCTGAAAGTCAGTATTATACTGAAAGACCAGCCTGCTACCCGCAGTCAGGTATCTGATATACCATACTATATTTTATATTTAAATTTCCTATTCAATGCTCTTGTTATTGGCTTCAAAGCGTGCCACTTGAGCGTAGATTACTTCGCCAATGTCACGTAGAATGGAGAAGACACGAGGGAAATTATTTTTATTTCCTAGTCATTACTAATTACTATTAAGTTGTATCATAATTAATAAGAATTTTCTTGCGACTAAATTAATGTTAGATAAAATAAAATATCAGGGCATATCATAAAATAAAATTAATATACCTACTTAATATGTACCTACTTTAAATAATATCACCAGTTTTGTTACAGAAATATGCAAGAACTGCCAACAAGGATTTAATTAATAAAAATATATTTTTGCTTTATCATGGCCGACAACCTCTTTATATACATACATACATTATAAATAACTGCTAATAATATGCTTCTCGCGGAATAGTTTTATCAGACATTAAGCTTATTTCATAGGCATATTATTATGTACGAGCGCCTCACCCTAGTCGTCGTTCGTCCCTAGATACGTTTTGACGCTTAGTATGGGATAGATTTTTATTCATTTTTTTTTCGTGAATTTTTCCGATGTTTTAATAGTTATTCTGCTATTCGGGGTAAAGACACATCCAACAAAACATAGATCATAAAAATAGTTCCAGCAGTTCTCGAGTTATAAATGTTGTAACAAACCCGACTTTGTTTTATATACTACATAGATTTATAGTTCGTTTATTTTGTTCTAGGCAATGGACATAGTAAAATCTTTAGATCTCCGTCGCAAATCATCGTCTAAGCGACACGACTACGAGGAAGAGGAAAAAACGAGGTCTAATGAAGCTCTTGATAAGGGTATATTGCAGTTGAAAAGGCAGTACATCTTCATACCACACACGAGTTTGGACAAGTTTGAATATATAAAGAATGATGTTATGTTCTTGGAGTTCTTAGTTAACCAATAACTTATTTGTCATCCATGACCAATAATAAGAAAACGAATAGAATATGGCAACATTATAAACAAGTTACAATATGGCGATGTACTTAAAATATTGGACGAGACTTCATTAAAATAATGCCATAAATGCTAAATTTCATAGAAACAGTAAAATTTTATTAAAATATAGATACAAACAGATGCGACTCTTTAAATAAATAGGCAGCTCAATACAATTAAGTCAGAAAATGGCGGTACATGCTCTATCGCAAGAAGTTATTAATTCTTTTTGATAATTAACCGCGTTTAATTTTTGGCTGATTTTACTCAATAATAAAAATATTTAAAATAAAAAAAGGGGGTGAAATAGGAAAATACAATACTTTTTTTTCCGGTAAATACATATATTTTGTCCATCTTGAGAATGAATAACTATTATTTTTATTTATGTCAAAATTTTTGTGAAAGGCAACATTACCATTATTGAATAAACAATAAACGTCCTTCCAAGTATTTTTTAAATGAGTAAAAGTAGTTTTATATATACTAGAAGTGAAATAAAAATGTATTTTGTACTGACAAAAACTTTTGATTTTTTTCTGCTAATTATGATTTTTCTTTCCATCATATACTTAACAGTTAATATCTACGAATGAATATATATTTTTTATTTTATTTAAATAAATAATAAAACCTTATATTATATTGAAGTATTATTAATTATTAAAAAATAATAACAATAAATCGGCGATAACATGACACATATTTTAGCAAACATTTCAGTAGGAAATGTGCAAAACACAAAAAACCAACCCACCATATAAATGTATGTACTTTATGTGTATTAACGATAACTATTTTTAAATTTTAATAAACATATACAAAAACTATTTATCTTTTTATTTCAATCCTCAAAAAAAATCTTAAACTATCCTGATGTCCTTACCAGGGTCTCAAACTATCTTCTTACCCTAAATCGGTCTAGTAGTTTCGGAGCTTATTCGGTACAAACAAACAAACAAAACAATCTTTTCTCTTTATAATAGTACAGATTTTTTTAATAAAATTAATAAAAAGATAGATTTATTTAGCGTTTTTGTGATAAAAAAAATAAAAACCTTTATTTTCATCATTCATTGTTTGGAAATTTGTTTGGAAGAGGAAAAATATTTAAAAACATATTGGCGCTTGAACCCTGCCACTTTGATTTCTAATTATTTCTGTAAAGTCTATGATACTCGCTTTATTAAGATAAGTATAAAAATGTATGAATTATCAAAATTGTTTAGTAATTACCAGGGAACATAGGATCAGACATACAGATACACGTACAAGACAAAAACATTAGCCCGTTTTGGGCTTCGCCGCAGTCGGGTAAAAAGATGCAATATTTTTTTTTATTCTTACTTTATTAATTGGGTATTATGAATAATAAAACCAATAGTTTGGAACTTTAAGTCTTATATTTGAAAGACATTTATATATTACTAGCATTGCCCGTACCTCCGCCCGCGTTCTGATGACCGAAAACCAAATTCTTAGGTTTTACACATTAGTATACTCTTACATTGCAGTTTTTGTATTTTTTCTCAGAAATGAGTTGTTTTCCCGCGGTAAAAAGTATCCTATATGTTAACCCGGATAACCAGCTATCACCATAAAAAATTTCATCAAAATCCCTCCAGTGGGTTTTCTGTGATTCGGTAACAGACAGACAGACAAAAATTCTAAGAACTATGGATTTGGCCTCTGTATCGGTAATAATGTCTATTTCAATAAGATTTTCCAAAAAATATTTAATGTACAGGTTTGGCTTAGTTACAATTTTATTATATGTATAGATAATAATGCGTGATAATTGAGTGAAACTAGGGGAAACAAACATGTTTGTTGAGAGTGAAGATTTTATTTAACGTCGTTCTATTTAAAGTTACACTGCGTATAGCGTTTTACACACACAAATATATACTTAGAGTGGCATGTATTTTTAATACAAAACCATTTTATAATCTATATTTTAATATGCAAGAGTTAACATAAAATAATAGTTATAGTTCATATATTATTAGAAAGAGAAGAGAACATTATGTTCTTTCTCTCTCTCCCTCCTTCTCTATCTATCTATCTCTCTCTCACTCTATCGCAGAACGGAGAGTTGAAACTATAACAGTATATGGTATGTATGTGTTTTAGAGTAAGGACTTGTACTGCACCAGGAACTGTTCTTCCTCAGCGAGGGACGCGCTGAGGTAGTCGTCATCTTCTGAATGGATAGCTTTCTTGAGACGCCGGAGAGCCATGTCACGCTCTTTTTTCCTAGAATAAAAGAATAATAATAATTAAAATACCTGTAGTAAGCTAAAGTGGATCTTAAATAAAACTATATTTACAGATCGTTTCGCAGAAAAAATCGAAAAAGATAGTTTAACTTGAAATGTCAAATATTCGCGTAAATTTTGATATTACATCCACTAATATATCTTCGTGACGCCGTAAACTTATCGCATATTATTCATATTTGTCAAACATAAACGATAGGGTTTTGTCGGGAACAAAGAAAAAAAGTACGTAGTCCAATTAAATGTTAAAAGATGGCGACATAATATGGTGACATCATATTAGATTTTGTTAAGCACGTGTCTCACACCTTTTTTTTTTTTTTTCGCTGGGGTAACCCATCATGGGGACCCTGCCGCCGTCATGGGCAGGGTACTGTGGGACTCCTACTCACTAAAACCCACAGCGGAACCCTTCGCCGCAGTGCAATGGGGCGTGCAGGATCGCTTTCGCACTCACTGCAAACGTGTCTCAAACCTGATCTATCATTGAACCTGTCAAACTGTCATTCCACGGGAGTGACAGGAACAGAGTGCATTTGTGACTTCGCATTATAACATCTCCTCCAGTTGGCAAGTCTTAGTGTTGAACCCTGTAGCCATTGCGGCATTACTGCATCAGTCGGTCAGGAAATTAAATGATATGAATGAATGATTGAATGAAATGAATGATTTGAACGAATGAAATTAAACTTTATTTACTTATACTTAAACAAGCAAAAAAATAAAAGAATCTCTCGTTCACTTTCTATTATTTTGATTCTAAAAACACGGTGGGATAGCTTTACGTGCTCTGCTTCAAAATACTTTGATACTCACGGTGAGAACTTGTTTTTCCGAGGCACGGAAGTGTAACACCGCCAACTTCCTAACTCAGGGCTATTACTGAGAACTTCTTAACAGAAAACTCAGTCACTATACTTAGCCCGACCCAGTACTCAAACCCATGACTTTTGGACTTTGGCCGTACATGCTAGATACACAACCAATATATATATATATATATATATTAGTGAGAATTATATTTACTTTTTCTCCTTATTCTCCATTTTCTGCTTCTTCCTTGCCGCCGCAGCGCTTGTAGAGGGGTTCGCGGAGTCACCTGCAACACCATATGGCTATAAGTAGGAATAATGGTTTTACCCATTTTCATTAAACTATAGCTATTGAGACTATATTATATATTCATTACAATCTAAATAATTAGAAATAAATAGGCAGCTATTTTGTTCTATAAACAATAAAATAATAGCAAAGAATTAATTTAAAGTATTCGTAATATCTAAAAGTCTTAGGTAGGTATGCCATTATTATGCTATTATGCCATTGGTCAATATTTCTTTTTCAAGATTGAATCATTTTTTTAATGATTGTCTTGCTTTATGATAATAGTGGTGCAGACATAAAATAATATAGCAACGAATAGTTTGATATTATAAAAAGGAAAACAAAATCGGTTAATCCGCTTGGGAGCCACGATCTTACAGACGGACACACACGTTACACATGTTAAACTTATATCATTCGTCCGTTAGGTTTGTTGGGTGAGAAATAATAAATATTTCGCAATTCTAAAATGGTTTCTATGATTTTCAATTATTTCATCAATGTCAACTTACACGGCTCCGTGCAGTTGTCCAGTAGCAGGTCCACGGCTTTAGTAATGTTGTTGCGTGCGCGTAGCAGCGCGGCGCGCGCCTCCCCCGCCGGGTAGCCCATCGCTTCTAGCTATAACACATGGTATAACCCTTTAAGACCTTCGAAACATAATATTCTTATCGTAATACATTTTTAGATTTACGCGAACAGATATTTGACATTTTAAATAAAACTATCTTTTTGGATTTTTGAGCGGATTCATTTTGATTTTTGGTTCCCGACGATTAAAAATGTTTTGACAAATTAAGCCAACGACGGCCAGTCTCATTGAGAATAGCCACCTGCGCATGAGATATTATAGTGCAGCGCGTGTGAGAGACAGCGCAGACACAATGTGCACTCTCTATTCCTATTACTCTCATACTCCGGTGGGACGACTATGAGGGTCAGGATTGACGCGACACGGAAATAAATCACCGCCAACTTCTCAACTGCGAGTTATTACTGAGATTTTCTTAAGAGAAAATTCCAATTATTGTATTTGGATACGGGTCTCGAATCCAGGACGAATACACTAAACAATATATTATGTATTTCCTAATATTTTCGGCCAATGTCTAAAATATCGTAATTTACACATTGACCGAAATTTTAATACGAAATATAGTTTGTGATTTCGTTTGGATTTCTCGAGTTACTATGTAATGTTGTTAGTTTCGAATAAATAATAAAATACAGGAACTTTTATTTATGAATACTTCTGAAAGCTGTATGTTGTGAGCTTGACACATCTAACGTTATTTCAGTTCATATTCCCACAAAATCAATATATAAGCGAATTCTTCTGTATATCATTACATATTTTTATTACTAGCTTTTCACCGTGGCTTCATTTGAGCATTACGCCGCATTTCATGTAATTTATTTATTTATTATTTGCATTATTATGTATAAAAATTTAAATATTATATATAAATCAAAAACAATTATATTATGTTTCATATTGAATTTATGTTCGACCCCAGGAATATCACTAGTAAACATTAAAAAAAGCTGAACAATAATTGATGTTCACATATTATACAGATTACCTCTGCTACAAGTCTATTGTCGGGCTCTACGACGGACTCTTCAGAGCTGGACGTCTCTGCATCATTATCATCAGACTCGCTGCCTGCGCACTGCAAATAAATGCCAATATTTTTTTATCGAATATTTTTTTACAATACAAATCCAACGTTTATATACAGATATGCCCTTTAAAGTGTTATTTAAAACATAAATAAACGACAAAAGACGTGTAAAGTTCACATTCGACTTAGATATGGCTTTATCCCTCTCAATTTGTGGGTAAGCCCAAGACCCTATACCCAGCAGTGGGGTAAAAAGGTGTGTACCATTTACTCCAGTAACTTCTTCTCGCACGGCTTTTTCTGTACTTAGGCAATTTTGATCGTTGTACGTGAGCTAGTGCTATTTAGTGTGTTATTCTTTCAACCCCAAGGCGTTCCAGTAGTCTAGCAGGTTGCCGGTTTCCTGGAAGATTTCCGGCAGCAATCTCTTGAGGCCAAGTTTTTCTGCGCGTAATGTTTTAGTTCAATGCATTCTATAGTCTGTTTTTTAATCTCATAGTTAAAACTGACATTGCGTGGGTTGCCAGTAGTTTGCAATTCTTAAATGGTATTGTGCTACTATCGAATATTAACGTTGATAAAATCAAGTATCGTTTTTTTATAATAAGTTCGTTTTTTATAACAAGTTATCCTGAAATAATGTTTAGGTACTTATTTGAAACGTAATAATACAAAATAATAATGCAAATTAAATTTTAATAATGTGGATTTTAATTATATTTAATGATTTAAAATTAATAAATATGATATGTATTTAATGATTTAGAATTAATAATGTGAATTTTAATGATACACTTTGGAATATAAAACTTTGGAGCGAATCGTCTAATAAAGATAAAAAATTACGATTCAACAAACCGATATCGTAGGTGCAACACTGCACAAAAGAGCTGGCAGCATTATTTGTCAATTTGACATTCGCATGTGTCAATTTACTCTCTGAGATTAAAAAAACAGAGTATAGCAAAATGCGAGGTGGTGTTTAGTCCAGTAAGATGCGCGGCGTCGCTCACCAGGTCGGGGCGGTCGTGCAGCAGGCGCGCGGCGTCGGCCACGCGCCGGCCGCAGCGCCGCAGCGCGCGCCGCGCCGCGCCCGCCGGGAACCCCATGCGCCGCAGTGCCAGCAGCGCCGCCTCTCTGCGCGGCCGCGAGGACGGTGAGAGTTAGAGGCAGAGAGCGGGAGGGAGAGAGAGGGCCGATGTATTGAACCCTAATAATTTTGTTATATCCATCTCTCTGTATATTAGTCACTATTAATATTATATTATTTCCTTCTTTTCATTCCATTGCGGCCACTTTTACATAGATAGAGGTATTTTTACATGCACAGAAAAAAATTAGCAATTTGATATATAAATGATGAATATACGCCATGAACGTATAAACGTGCGCAACGACAGCTATCACTTTTCAAGATCTCTCTATGTATATTTCTGTGAAGTGGAATATAATTCATTTTAATAACAAATGAGTCGTTTTTTTCCATAAAGTCAATTATTATTTATTTAATTAAACATACTAGCGGGCACATTTTAATAGGCACCCCGGTCAAAACATATTGACCCTTTTATTATTATATATAAAAAATTGATTTCGATTAAATACGCTATTAACGTAGCAATCTTGCAGTCGGATTTCGATCCAGGAAGTCTAACCGATATGGATATTTACGATTATTGCTCCGCTCCCTTGGGTAGTACCATAATGATATATAACCTTCCTCGATAAACGGGCTACCTAATGCAAAAATAATGTTTCTAATCGAATTAGTAATTACTGAGTTTAGCGCATTCAAAAAAACAAACAAACAAACTCTATCTACCTCTTTATAATATAAGTATAGACGTATAAATTTTATTGGAAAACTTGGTGCTATATACACTAGAGAAAATTTAGTGTCACCAATTATAAGACAAAAGTACCTTTCTTCGTCGTGTCGGCGTCGCGCGAGGTCGCGCGCGCGACGCCGCGCCTCCAGGTGCAGGTGCGCGCCGTCGCGCTGGCCGCGCGCCGCGCGCAGCCCGCAGCGCGCCGCCGCCGCCGACCACCCCAGCTCCATCAGCGCCGCCACCGAACTCTCGTCTACCTACACAAATATATATACACCGTCACTATGACTATGAGCCAAACGTCAAAATTAATTGTTGTCAAAATAGTTGCTGATCCACGACAAGACGTTTTCCTTCACAGTAAAATAAGTGGGAATCATGTTAAAAATGATTAAACATGAAAATAGCAAAGGCGCGACCCGGGATTTGAACCTGCTTTATTTGGTTTCCCAAATAAACGTGTTACTTCTGCTTCCAATTATATTATGTAATTATCATCATCGTCATATCATCATGGTCCAAAAACCTCTAAAATACTGAACACAGGCCTCCCACAAGATATCCTTTTCCAGAACTACTAACACTGAAATAATATATTACTTTAAGTAATCTATTGTATATAAAACCACTTCGATATTAGCGATATTTACAACCTTAAAGTTTTAAATTGTAAATTATATTAACGCCTTAATAAAAGTTCAGTTCGTTTAAGTTTTGTAATTATTCTAGTTGAAATAATAATAATAATATTCTTTATTTGTAGTAAAAAATCGGGTTACAAAAATATACTTTACATAACTGTTTCGCTTAAGACATAATAATATAAGATTATCCAGTAAGAGTGCTTAGGAGCTCGTACTAGGAAAACCTGTATTACCAGCACCGTTACCTTCCTCTAGATTTACAATATATATTTTTTTGTTTTATAAGGAGATCTGCAAGTAGTATTTACTTTTAGCAGATTTGTTCTAAGATTTTTTTTTACAGTAAGAGCGTGACTCCACTGAGCCATCTACTGCATATTTATATACTTTTTTTTCAATAATCTAGGATATCATTCCTTTTCAGTCTTTTTGTGTAACTTCTTTTTGTTAAGGCAGTTGCAAGGTCATTTGGATGCCTCTCTAGTCGGTCGCAATATTTGGTTTTGTATTTCTTTATTTCAGCAGCTACAGTATCCACCATAAGATTCTCGTGGATTTCGTTGTTGGTGATAAAACACGGTGCTTGGCAGATTGATCGCAGTATGGCATTTTGTGCTCTTTGAATCACGGTGATATTGGATTTGCAGGCGCTTCCCCATAATTGAATTCCATAGAGCCAAACAGGTTTCAGTACAACCTTGTATATCAAGAGTTTGTGTCGAGACTTAATTTGCTGTTTCGTCCCATGATCCAGTGCAGGTTCTTGAATCTGATATTAACCTCACACCTCTTGGTTTTTATGTGGTTCTTCCACGTTAGACGGCAGTCGAGATGCATTCCCAAGTACCTAACGTTATCTTGATGCAAAAGCGTGGTATTTTCAAGCTTGACTGGTGGAAAGTTACCTTTTTGGAGTGTAAAGGTAACCTGAACTGATTTACTTGCACTCGCCTTTATACGCCAGTTTTCCAGCCATGTTATAATATTGTCTAAACTTGTCTGTAGCACGTGCGATGCCATAGTAGGGTCTTTGTGGCTTGCTAACACGGCAGTATCATCGGCAAAAGTTGCTGTGGTTACTTCTTCAGTTTGGGGTAAATCTGCAGTGTACAACGTATACAAGAGCGGTCCCAGGACTGACCCCTGCGGTACCCCAGCCTTAATTTCAAAGAACCGCGATTTTGCATCCGCGTTTTTTACCTGACCCATCCTGTCTGTAAGGTATGATTTTATTACGGAGTAGTACTGGTGAGGCAAGTTGATTTTGACCTTATAAAAGAGTCCTTTATGCCAGACCTTGTCAAAAGCCTGTTGGATGTCTGAGAACACAGAAGAGCAATACTGCTTTTCTTCAAAACTCTTTCTAATTTTATAGCATACTCTATGCACTTGTTCAACAGTGGAATGCTCTTGCCTAAAGCCGAATTGATGGTCAGGTATGACTTTAGCGTCGTTCAAAATGGGCAGTATTCTATCCATGAGTAACTTCTCAAACACTTTAGGGAGGATCGGGAGTAAACTTATTGGCCGATATAAAGATACTTCATTTGGCTGTTTTCCTGTCTTATAGATCACAATGATTTGGGAAATTTTCCACGCCAAAGGAAAATACTGGATTCTCAGTACAGCATTAAACAAAGATGTTAAAAATATTATAGCTTTTCTTGGTAATTGTTTTAGTATCTCTTTTGTAATAAGATCATATCCAGGAGCTTTCTTGTCTTTCATTTTTGAGATGACCTTCCAGACCTCTCGCACTGTGAAAGAGCGTGGTGGTGGTGCCATCTGGAAATCTTGAAGAAGTACTTTATCTATATCTTCTTCGTTTTTCAAGTTTACTGTCGAGTTCGGAGTGAAGACTTTTTCCAAGTGTTTGGAGAAAGTGTCACCTTTTCCTGCGGTGTTCAGGCCCTTCCTTTTTCAATTCTCAGCGGAATTTTTGCACTTTGAGGTCTACTAATTTTTTTTGTAAATTTAAAAAAAGATTGACGGTTTGATGCTAAGGGTGAAAGCGATTCATTTTTGGGACACTCAGAGGTTTTATGAGACTGTCCACATTTTACTCATCTGTATGGATGCATGCAATAGTTTTTGGAGTGTCCATATTGCTGGCATCGCTGACACTGCACTACAGTCTTTTTCTTCCTGGGTTCTTCTATCTTAACTGCTTGGTGGTAGATGTACTTCAATTCCTTTACAGCCTTATTTTGAGGATTGGGTAGAAGGTTGACAAAAATATGTAGAGGTTGGCTTCTTATCAGGACGAAATTTAGCATTGATTATTTCACCAAAGACAACATTACCAGTTTTTTCAATGTCCGCTTTTATTTCTTGAAGGGGTGTAGAGTGATGATTTCTTATTACTAATCTGTAGCATCTCTCGTCTTTTCGATTAAAAGTGTGACCTATCAAGGTATTCTCTCTGATTAGAGAAAGAATATCCTTATAGATGTTGAGTTTAGTGCAGTGTATTCTCAGCTGATTTCTATTGACAATCTTATAAGAAGAATCTTTTCCTTCTGCCACAGAAGCTAGTAGATCTGTCAGTTTGTTGACATCCTCAACATCATACAAAATTACAGGTGGTGGTCTAGGTGCCTTCTTCTCTTTGGGATCAAGCCTTTCTTCCTGGTCTACAGGTAATGTGCTGTACCGGTTGCTAATTTTTAGTTTATCAGGAGATGGTGATTCAGATGATTTTTTGCGCTTCTTACTTCTGTTGATAGGTACTCTTTGCCATTCCGGCGGTTGGACTTCTTGTGTGTGTGTTACTCGTGAGATTGCATTATCAATGACACTATTGTCGGGGGAGGCATCTTTCTTTGTCTGTAAATTAGTGTGCTCTATTGTAGAAGTATCTGTCGGTCGAGTCTATATTTGGGTAACTACCACAGAAATCTTAATAATAAGCTAATAGAAGTGGCATAGACGCGTGACCTTGTCGCCGCGCATGTGACTCGTAGGTCACAAGCGCGTGTAAAGCGTTTGTTGCGGTAACTAGTGTTATTTGAGACACGGAGAGGTAAACATGGTGTTTTGCAGCATATCCAACTGCGGAAATTCTTCCACAATTTGTAACTTTACAAATAAAGGGATAACATTTCATATGTAAGTACTTAATTTTTGAAATAATGTCGTTTTTAAGAAATATAGCCAAATCAAATGTTTTCACCACCACTACTACGATTATCGCAGGAAAACGTTTTTTTTTTCAATTCAATAACCATTACCACTTAAGCTTGTTCATGTATACTATTACAACTGCTAAAAGCAGCAATGAAATAATATTCATGCGTAAAGAACAATATTGTCGCGTACGTAAATTCCAAGGACACGCCGCACAAGTTAGCCGCGAATTAGTGACGTGCCACCACAATTTTTTATCGAAAATTTATTACGTTTGGCTTAATATTTTTCGTTAAATATTTAATTGTTACATCTCATTGTGTATGTTTTCTTTCTGTCTGAATAATTTATAAAAAGTCATTTATCAACGATTATCTGTAAATTCGTACTATTAAACTACTTTTTCATTCAGAAAATTATTAGGAGGTAGGCTTATTATTGTTATGTATGTAGTACTAGTATTGTTAGTATGTACTGCTAAAAAGTATTGTTTTTGACAACAAGCTAATAGCAAATAAAAAGTTTAAAAGTGAATTTGTAACGAAGGCCATGCGTCATTTTGTTGGGATAAAAATATTTGAAGATATTGATTTTCATCAATATGACCAGTCTCCAATTAATAATCATGTCATTCAATTAGTGAAATGCGTTTTAGAAAAATATATAGATATTCGCCTCAATCACTTTGCCAAAAATGCTATCCAATTTATCCCAAAACGACAACTTTTAAATAAATTTTTACATTTTTCAGGGCAGTAATAACATTAATAATCTGGCTTTAAATGCCAAAAAGACAAAATACATAAAGTAAATAGATCGTTTATGGGGCAAGGTGTACGCATATATAATAAAATTCCACAGTCCATATTGAGCTTGGCTTTGAATCAATTTAGTTCTAAAATTAAAAATACATTATTGAATAAGGCTTATTACACCATTACTGAATATTTAGAAGATGTAAATGCGTCGGATTAATGTCTTGCTGTGTCTCACGTAGGATAAATGGATAAATATTGTAATGCAATAAATATTGTAATCAAATATTTTTTGAAAAGAGCAACTGTTGAGTATCTCGCCGGCTCTTCTCAGCAGATCAGCATTCCGAGTCGGTGGTAACATACTCACAGACTTACAGACTGACATTTAATGTAAAGTTTAATCATGTAAAAATGACGATTCAAAAGAACTTGTAAAAGTCTATTTGAATAAAGAATATTTTGATTTGATTTGATTGAGTAAATAATTCTAAGGGCGAGTTGTTTGATAAACAACATAGAAATTCTATAAATTTTTTTAAGTCATTGTTCAAAATGTATGGATATATATATATATATATATATATATATATATATATATATATATATATATATATATATATATATATATATGGATTTTAACAAATAGTTTGCATAACTTTTGTATAACTATATAATAATAAAAAAATTTACTTACATTTAACGTTTTATTGTTTTCCCTTTATGAAAATAAATAAATCGTCTAAAAGCGCGTCGAGGAATGAAACAAAACACTTTCAATAAATTAGTTACCTATTGTTGCAAGACTCAACGGAAAATTATCGATATGAGCATTATGCGCTTTGTACTGCACTAAAAGTGAGCGCGCGATATCATTCTGTGCTTTTCGCACACGTTTATTATTGGTCACAGGGATCACGCCATCTGAGATTATGCGTTTTTAGAAAATATTGCGTAATGTCATCGCTTAAAGTTTAATTTTTGTTGCAACAATGCAAAATGCATGTGTGGGCGATAGTGTGTATTTATTGTTGTCAATGTGTTGGTAGCTGCAAGCCGGCGACACGCGTCCCAGTACTAAAAGACCGCAATGGCATTTCTATTACCTTATTATTAAGATTTCTGTGGTAACTACCTAGTGAGTTGCTTCTAGGTCTCGAGAACAGGGATGGGTGAAAAGCCTGTTGCACCATCTTGCGTCTTGTCAGATTTACAATAGTACCTGGGCCACCGAGCTTTGCTCGGAGTTTTTAGCCAAAAAAAAAAACATTAAAAAAAACAAAATTAAAAACTTTGTGTCCGACCGGGATACGAACCCAGATACCTGTGGTTGTCAAACTTGCGCATTGGCCGCTTGACCATGATGCTTATATCTGAGCGTGCGAAATTATCGAACATAATATTTTGCGTGGAATTATTAATTTATTGAAATAATGCAAAAGAAATCATAATAATAATAAAGCTCTATTTATTTATTCATTTATTTCTTATAAAGGCTTACTAACTAAATTTACATAAAAACATTTATTTAACATTATAATTTTACCTATCTGTATATAAATTTAATTTAAAAGTATGCACAGCTTTTTATAAAAGTATTCCATTAAAATTTTATTTGGTTAAGAGTATATAAGGAGCCATTTTAGTTGTACAATAAAAAAAATGTCTATATCACATTGCTGAAATATAAAATTATATAATTTAGTGACTATTTATTAACTTATAACTTTTTAACTAATAATTTTGTAACCTGGAATTAAATTATTTTAAAAATCTTCATATTATTTGAAATGATATTGTATATATATAAATTATCATTAACAAATAAATAAATAAACAATCACAATAAATTAAATAATTCAATTGAGTAAATACTAAACATTTCACAATAATAAATATAAATAAAATTTCTTTCCATACATTAATTCTGACAATAGTTATAAATTAGGTATTTAATTTCATAATTAAATGTATTTATTTAGTAAATGTCTTTTTCATGTATAGACCCCTATCGGTTAAAAGCCTCCTCCAAAGTAGTCCTGCATAGAGCTCTCCGTTGGAGATGGGTTTTTCAAAGGGTTCAAAGGGTTTTTCTCTCTCAAATTATGTTTTCAATATATAATTTGTGCCTATAAAGTTTATAATTTTATCTTTGTGTTCTTTTGATTTGTTGTAGGAAATGCTGCTTTTAATTCTAGAAGTTTTTCTGGTAAAGATATGTATACCTTTGTTCATTGTATGTCTGTTTTTCTTTAGAGGGTTACGGTCGAACTCCCCCAGTGACCAGCCGTACTGGTGGATAAAGATGAGGAGGTTCCTACAGTGTTTAATATACTATATCTTGCTGTGTTGTTTTTAGTTGTTCCTGGTTATCATTTGTGTGGTTGAACGTTAATTTTGGTTTTTGTAATATAAAGTCTTTAATATTACCAGGTATGGTTTTTTTTATATGTTGTTTATTTGTTAGTTTTTGTTTATAATTGAGGTAAGGCGTTTCTGGAGATACAGGCAGACTTCTTTTTTATTTCCGTTTAGTTTAAGACTATTTTTTCCTCTAGTTCATGATAGGATTTTTCACCTTCTTTTACTCTGAACATAACCAAGTTCTTGCGCCTAATATGTCTTTCTAAATTATTTATTGAGGTACTTTGTTCCTGGATTTTTTTCTCAAGAACTTCAATTTTTATTTCTAACTGTTTAAATTTCTCATTTAAGTATATTATTGTTGATTGTATTTTTAATGTCTTCTTTCATTTCTAACATTTCTAATATTTCTGTTTTCTGCTGTCTTATTTCTTGTTGCATGTTTATTAGCAACTTTTTTATGTCCTCCATCTTAAGTGTGAAGTTGGAAGTAGAACAGCTGATTGAAAAAGAGCACCAATTATACCTAGTTGAATTTCGTTTTATTGTCATCACACACAGAAAAGATGGTTTTGCACTGATAGTATCTTTAAGTTATGATTGTCACTTTTGTATTTGTTTGGTAGGTGAATTTTTAAAAGCTGATTTGTTCTTCAACACATCAAGACTTGGTGATGTTTACATATTGCCCATAGGTTTTATTTAAAAATTTACTTAGATTAGATTTAATTTTTCTTTAGATTATTTTCACTTAAATATATTTAAACTTGATGTAAATACGGACACGATGTTGACAGTTGCACAGTGGCGCCGCCCACTCACCAGAAGTGACAATGCAAAAATTGTGAAAATGCAATAGAAAATCGCATGAAAATTCGAAAATTCGCGTTTTTCCAGATATAAGACTAATCTAGATCGATTTATCGCCCCCGAAACCGCCTGTGTGCTAAATTTCATGAAAATCGTTGGAGCCGTTTCCGAGATTCAGATTATATATTGATATATATATATATATATATATATATATATATATATATATATATATATATATATATATATACACAAGAATAGCTCGTTTAAATATATAAGATATGGACCAAATGGTTTACAGTTACTGAAGCTAGTAGATTATAATGGTAGAAGATAAAATGAATAAAATAAAAGAAATTGATTGTATGTGTGTTTGTACGTTTGTGTGTGTGTGTGTGGTGTGTGTGTGTGTGTGTGTGTGTGTGTGTGTGTGTGTGTGTGTGTGTGTGCGTGCGTGCGTGCGTGCGTGCGTGCGTGCGTGCGTGCGTGCGTGTGTGTGTGTGTGTGATGTGTGAGAGTGTGTATGTGTATGCATTTAATTGTGATTATATATAATTTATAAGTTTTTCTGTGTCGTCATAGGTTAGTGATTTCAGCCAGTTACTTACGAGTATTTTAATTTATTATAGATTCGAGTGCATGAAAAACGATATTGTCGTCTAACGAGAACTGATTTGCATGTTAATGTAGGGCAGGTGTTTGGCTTGCGTCTACGTTTTTCATGTTTTTCGGGTTGATATGTTAGTTCTGAATGTTTGCGTAGGATTAATCTTAAAATAAATAGCTGACGAACTGTGTGAACTGACGAAATAAATATACAACAATGTAAATCGAACGTAATCTCACAAAAAAAAAAATTAAAAGCGCGCTCAAATGTTCAAATGAGCGCTCATTCGGTGAGGACATTTTTTGTCGCTGATTGTGTATCTAGTACTTTTTTGATCGATGGTTTTTTTTAGTTAAGCGTAATACTTAGTGTGATTCTAATATAACAGAAAGTTTAAATATTTTTCTTACCCTTAAGCAGTTTAACTCTGCCTCGGCTTTGTCCAAAAGCATTTTGGCCTCCGCTCTTTTATTCTGGTGGTAGGCGACGATGCCTTGCAAGAGATAGAGGCGCATGAATAACACTCTCTCATTGGCTGGAACAAAAACCATAGCATATATCTGTATATTTATTTTTTGTATGTGTATTTTTTGGACAATCAAAATTTAATACAAAAAAAATCTCATATTTTATACCAGACTTTGTTAAGACTAAGGTATTAAGTTATGTTAGAACTGCACTCCGTCTTCTGAGAAAATGTGGACCTCTTATGCACAAGCACATTTTTCATCTTGGGAAAGTTTCTAGGCCCAGATAAAATTAAGGAGTGTACCCCTAACTCATAACTCACGAACAAATCCTGCTGTTAATCAACGGCTGGGTTTAGTAGGTTCTCTAGTTTAATATGCGGCGATCAAAATAGATCAGGTATGGTCAAAGCGACATTACATATCCGCAACATAGAAATAAAAAAAAATCTTATCAGAAAAATATGTAAATGTGCGTGTATTTGCAAAAAAATGTTATTAATGTGTGGGTAAAATAAAAAATAAATAAAAATTGAGCTATTTTGGCTTTAAAAATTACAGTAAGGGAAATTGAGATGTTTTTAAATAAAATTCCATATCAGAAGATCTCACCGTTCGTTCCTTTCAAGGCTATCAGTCTCTGGTGATCCTCGCCATAGGAGGCTATGAAGGCCTTCTCTGCCCGCGCGAGGCGCGCCGACGCGTCGCTGGCCGAGGACAGGCTCTGCAGGCACAGGTAGCACCAGGATATGTCCAGCTGGAGTATTGCACAGTTGTCTACGGAGCTTAATATTGATGATCTGCATTCGCTGTGGATAGAGATGATGCACTTAAAAAAAAGGACAAGTGCCAGTTTGACTCGTACATCGGGGATTCCGTAAACATTAAAATAAGTATTTTTTGTGTTTTTTTTTATGATTCTAGGTCAACGGGAAGTATGATATAGGTTTTGATTCCCTTCAAGAGTACCTTAGTGAAAGTCAAAATATGCGACATATGCGGCCTTATCTTTTATTTGCATTGATTTAGAAGATTGATTTCCTTACAAATCCAAAACAAAACAGATTGCAGACCTCCACAGGTTTCCGAGAAAAAGGGTCTTGACAGAGAGACAGACAGATGGACAACAAAATGATCCTATAAGGGTTTCTTTTTTCCTCATGATGGTTGGAACCCTAAAAATAATTGAATTAATATAAAGTCGAAAGTTTCTTTGTATGTTTGTTATTTGATATTTAGTACATAGGTAGACTGTGATATGGAGTAAAAATTGGCATTGGTCATTAATCTGACCGTTCTGACCTGACATCATTTATGTCTTTCTTGACTTACCTCAGTTGTCTATCAGCCTCCAGTAACAACACTAGAGCTAAGGAATAATCATGGTTTTTCGCCGCGGCCCGCCCCCGCTCGTGCAGCGCCAGCCCCACCAACAGTGCCCTTCTTTCTGCCACTGGCAACTCTACTGTTTTACCTGACTGATCTTCTAACTGGAATAAATTAAGAATTAATATTTAATTTTGTACAAGATTATATTATGGTTTAAAGTTAGTGCTAGGTTAGGATTCTTTTCATAGCGTAATTTTATTTTATTCTTGATAGAAAATATCAATATCAATACTCGGCTAATGACTACACTACAGTAGACTAAATATATATATCAAAAGACTAAATATATATATCAAGATGTATATCTACATTCTATATACTCTTATAAGCGATTCACCCTTGCTTAGCTCGGGTTCGTCCCTATCTACGTTTTAATGGTTAGTATGGAATAGATAGACTATACTTACATAAGTATGTTTGTACCTTAAAAAATATATTATGTACCATAATTGAGAAATGATTGATTCCCCATATAACTTCCATCCACTGTTTCACCCTCTTAAGTGATAAATTTCCGGGACAAAAACTATCCCATGTCTTTTTCAGGGGCTCAAACTATCCCCATACCAAATTTCATCTAAATCAGTTCAGCGGATTAAGCGTGGAAAGGTGACAGACAGACAGACGGATTGTAGTAGTGTAGATCAAATAAAAAGAAAGAAGATGTAAAGTTCAAAATATACATTTTATTTATTACCTTTATATAATCATCACTTTCATCAAAGTCATCAACATATTCTGTAAGCAAAGTGGCATCCTCCATTGTTGATTTCATTTCCATGTACATATTATCTTCTTTTTTTATAAGTTCTGGTGATTCTGGAGGTGGTAAATAAATGTTTTTAATAAATAATCTATCCATATCATAAAAGTTAACTGATTGCTGTCTGTACATACATGGGCGATATTTGTGATTGATATTTAACTGCTTCGGTGGTGTAGTGGCTAGCATGTACGGCTGCACACCCGGAGGTCCTGGGTTCGAGTCCCGGGTCGGGCCAAGTTTAGTTATTGAGTGTTTCTGTATATTAAGCCTCAGTAACAGCCCGGAGTTGGGAAGTTGGCGGTGTTTCACCCCCGTGCCTCGGAGAGCACGTAAAGCCGTCGGTCCTGCGCCTTAACTCTCACTGGTCGTGTCGAGTGGTCGTCCCACCAGAGTATGAGAGTGACAGGAATAGAGAGTGCACTTGTGTCTGCGCGTACACTTGTGCACTATAATATCTCCTGCGCAGTTGGCTAGTCTCAATGAGATTGGCCGCCGTGGCCGGAATCGGTCAGGAGAACATCATCATCATTTGTGATGGGGTCTTTATTAACAAAATAAAACCCAAAACAATGATTTTTTGAATTTTTGTCTGTTTCTCGGTTGGTCTATCAAGTTGCTAGTTATGAAAAAAGTAAAAAAAGGTCCCTTAAATTTCACTACATAGAGTTTACACTGTATTATTACAACAAGATTAAAACTATATATTATTATGAGTTAGATTTAAATATATGTATATTGCGTAAAATCTGCATTTATTATTAATTTAAAATTTAAATATTATTTGCAACTTTTCATAAATATTTTTTAATTTTAAATCATAATTAAATTTATCACCTTCCATAACTAATGCCATGAGTTGGACTCCATTTTTCAGGCCTTGCTCCTCTAAACTTTTACTTTGGTTGATAAGTTTACCATTATATATTAATTTAACTCTGTAAAATAAATTTTAAATCATGATAAAAGATAAGTAAGTAAACATAATGACCATGCACTTATGACCCGTTTGGTTCAGTTTGTAGTTCTGCCAGCAGTCACGAGTTTGAGTCCCTCTGGGGGCATTCATTTTTGTGATGAGCATAAATGTTTGTACTCCAGTCATGGGTGTTTATATTTATAATATGTATGTATATAAAGATATATATGTGTAGTGTAACTATCTGGTATCCATAACTCAAGCCTGATAGCTTACCATGGAACTAGATGGCGCTGTGTTTTAATGGTAGCACCATATTTTATTTATTTTCAAATTGATGGGATGCAAATCAATTAGAAAAAAAATCTTGAAGGCATAACATTACATTCTTACCAAAACATTAATAGTGGAATTAAAGGAAGGAACCTGGGAAGCTTCAGTGCTTAAAGCATTACTGATAAAGTATTCCTCACTGAATTCTATTATTCAAATTAAATCTGTATACAAAACTTAAATCACAATCATTCACATTATAAAAAAGCTTATTTTCTAACTATACCTAGTGGAAGAAACGTTAAGGAGTTCAGCAACTGAAGAGGCCAATTCTCCACCCATCACATTTAATTGCTTTACAAATTTCATGACCTGGGGCTTCTCTCCTGGAACTGTGGCTTTGACCCTGAGGGTCGCACAACCTGTCTCTTTAAACTCTTCATTGGCTTTTGCCCGTTCTATTGAGTGAAGTTGAAGCTCATGCAGCCCTTGAAGGACTATGTTAGCATCTAGGTTAAGAGCTGTAGCATATTTTACTGACAAATCCTAAAATGTTTTTTATAACATTACTAGCGGACCCGACAGACGTTTCCTGTCTACACGTCTTTAATTTGAAAATTTCAAACTTTTTTTAATATTTTTTTTGATGAAAATTATTATTCAAATTGTGAATCTAAACCATTCCCAGATCCCCTTGAACACACACAAAAAATTTCATCAAAATCGGTCCAGTCGTTTGAGAGAAGTTCAGTGACATACACACTCACAGAAGAATTATATATATAAAGATAGTATCTACTGCTTCATCATCGTATTTATTAGTTTTACAAGACATAACAGAAAATTCTAAGATAAAAGTCTATAAAAGCCTTGTGGTTCATTTATTTTATTTTTAACTACAGACTCATCCTCGCTTCGCTCGGGTTCGTCCCTAGTTTGCTTACCAATACAAACTTTCATCCCCTTGAGGGGTGATTTCTGGGATAAAAGTATCCTATCACTTCCCAGGGTCTCAAAACTACTACTTACTAAATTTCATCAAAATCGGTTTAGTAGATCCAGAGATTACCCCCTACAACATCATAAGCTCACAATAACACAAACTTTACCTGTTTATAATAGTAATACTTATAGATTTATAACATCTTAATATTATAGTAACATTTTAGTAGAATAATTAAATACTATTGCTCATAAAAAGTTGATAAATTCTACATAATTGCATCTATATAAATAAATATGAAATAAAAACAACAGATAATATTCTACAATTGGCAACAAAGATAATATAAGAAATTGTCGTATTATAGCTAAAGATAGATTTGAGTTAAAGGAGAATAGGAAAACATCATTGACCGGGCAAAAAAAGTAAATAAACAAACCTTTAAGCTATCCGATAGACCACCATTCTCTAACACATAAGGTACTTCCCATAGCCTTATTTTCTCTTCATTTAATTTTGCTCGAAGTTTTATTAACAGGTCTTCATGCTCGAGGCCGTCCATTTTATAGTTAAATTATTAAGAAAGAAATGATTTGCAGAAATGCTCCGATAAAATTAAGTACGAACAATGGTCAATATTAATAACATGGATGACAAATAAAAGTCAATAATGAAAATTGAAATGTAAATGACAGTGACGTCTTAAACTGACAATAACAAATAGCAGCTGATAGTGTTATTACCATTTAATAATAAATAAAATGTTTCAACATTTTTTCCTCTAATAATAAGTGGCATAAAATATATGTATTTTACTATGTATTTAACATGTTTACTTTTATTATTAACTTGTAATGCAATAACATAATTTATATTTTAAATATAATATAAATAATGTTTTATTTTTTATTTTTGAAGACCAGTGCCTCTTGGATACTTAGAGTAGTGATTATTATGTGAACTCTAAGCTTGGATATATATATATTGAAGGCGATCAAACAGAATGGGAAAGAATTTTGGCCTTTTATCCCGCTAGATGTCACGATTATTAGGATCCCAGTTTTAAAACGTAGTGGTTACATTCTTTCTGAGTTTTATTGTAAAGCTCTAACGTGGGTGGATTCTTTTTCATTTTATATTTTAAAATTTAATTCAAACGTCAATGTCATACGCTTTGCTACATAATCTAAGCTACTTTAATTGATTTCACGAGATAAGATGTGAATTAAAACTTTCACCAGAAACACATAATACATATTACTTAATTCGCCTGCCAAAAGTAATTAGCCCTGCGACTTGCTCATTGTCAAACTTAATTTTTGAAGCAATAAGAGTACTAATTTATGTTTACAAATATATATATATATATATTTCACTCCCGCTTTTCTAAATATTTTCATTATATATAAAACATTTATGAATTATAAATATAATTGTAACAATGTAAAATAATGAGAACAATATGTTCTCTCAACAGTGTTTCACACACTATTTAGAGAAACTTATAAAATATTAGTGATGAGCAGATTCACTATCGCAAATACGCTAAAATATGTTTGCTCGATAAAATTATTTTACTTAGGATTTGCTGTGTGTATGTTTTTAACCCATTTAGACCTACCGTATCACATGTGAAACATCAAAAGTAATAAATAATTCTGAAGTACCCTTAACTGTTTTTGGTTTATGTTTAGTCTACAGGTCAAATGCAAGGTATAAGTAACCCAAATAATAATATATTCTAATTATGTTAATTGCTACGCTTCTAAGTTTCACATCACGTTATTTTTCACTACTTCTTATATACTGTAGGCAGTAGGTTCATCTATCAAAGTGTACAATATTAGAATATTCGTTATTTTTAATTAGAAAGATAATTTCCAATTTTGGCCACTGTGACTTTAATATTAACAGATTTACATAAAAAACTGGCAACCCCTTTTTCACCCCTTTAGGGATTAAATATTCAAAAATCCTTTCTTTTTATACTCCCTACGGGGAATTTATCTGACGAGTTTCAAGTTTGAAGCATTTATATTTTCCGAGATTTCGTGATTAATGAGTGAGAGATATTTTGCTTTTATATTATAAATAGGCTATCGACACCCCGTATTAAATGTAACTGTTGCAATTTATTGATTTCTTATGAGAACCATTAATTATACTGGCATAATAAGAAGCTTATGTCACAGAGAGATAACATAGTTTGAGATGAATCGTTAGTAAAAAAAAATTAAGAATCGGTTAAATTCCCGGTCTCACAAACTTTTGCATACAACTTTCACTTCATTCGGTCTAGATTTGTATTTTATTATCGGTGTATTTTTGATATAAATGCGAATAAATCAAGCGTCTTTTCTGCCGACTGCAATTAAAGTTATTATGATTTCTGAAAATAAACATATTTTTATCGCAATACAAAATATCATACCTATAGCACTCAACGGTAATGTAGCTTCCTATTAGTAGAAAAAAAATCATGATCGGCCCTATTTAAAAACTCCAATAGGATCCCATCAAAAGCGACAAGAGCCACATAGAAACCAATAAATATTTATAGGTTTCTATGTGCCGTTGTCGTTTTGTTGGGATTCTATTGGAGTTTTTTAACAGGGGGATCAGTAGTTTCAGAGGTTATCTCCTACGTTCAAACTTAGGTACAAACTTACAATATTTACGACCTGGCAACCTTCAAGAAGAGAGCGTATTCCTTCCTGAAAGGCCGGCAACGCATCTGCAAGCCCTGCGGTGTTGCAGATGTCCATAGGCGACGGTGATCGCTTTCCATCAGCTGAGCCTCCTGCCTGCCCGTTGGCCCTCTTGGTCCCATAAAAAAAATAACAATATTTTTTATAATGAGTGTAGAAATCGAAAATTGCAAACACTAATTAATATTTCATTTCACAAGCAATTAAGTAAAATTTTATTGAATAGTTAAAATTTTATTATACGTAATTAACAATTTTGAATATTTACTGTATAAAATTTAATTAGAAAGATGAAGAGTATTTTGTACGTCCTAAGTAAGAGCCTCACTTTTATCAAATTTTGTACCTAATTAATAAACATTCTTCATTATTAAAGAGGATTCTATTAATAAAGATATATTAAGGGTTAATTTAAACTTATATATTAGAGTGCTACCTCGGTGGTGTAGTGGCTAGCATGTACGGCTGTACATCCGGATGTCCTGGGTTCAAGTCCCAGGTCGGGCCAACCCTATTTAAAAACTCCAATAGGATCCCATCAAAAGCGACAAAAGCCAATACAGAAACCAATACATATTTTTTGGTTTCTATGTGGCTTTTGTCGCTTTTGATGGGATTCTATTGGTGTTTTTCAACAGGGAAGTTAAGTTATTGAGTCTTTCTGTATAGTAAGTCTCAGTAACAGCCCGGAGTTGGGAAGTTGGTGTTTCACCCCAGTGCCTCGGAGAGCACTTAAAGCCGTCGGTCCTGCACTTTAACTCTCACTGGTCGTGTCGAGCAGTCGTCCCACCGGAGTATGAGAGTGACAGGAATAGAGAGTGCACTTGTGTCTGCGCGTACACTTGTGCACTATAATATCTCCTGCGCAGTTGGCTAGTCTCAATGAGATTGGCCGCCGTGTCCGGAATCGGTCAGGAGAACATTATATTAGAGTTAAAATTCTTCATATTTCAGCCGTTCTTTTTATTCTCAACAAATGCAATTCATATATTCTTCTTACCGCAAATATGGAAGATATTCAGTCTCTTGCGAAGCAGTTAGCAACTTCGCCAGTCGTAGACCAAGTCAGCAATATTTGGAGGAGAGCTGCATCTCAATTCCAGAGGGTGATCAACAGAGATCCGAGACGACATGCAGAAGAGAGTGAGTCAGGTGAGAAAAAATATGGTATTGTAATAAAATAGTAATTACTCTCGACATGCTTAACCAATCCGCGCTGGGAGGCGGTGTGTTGGTCCTGGTAGTTCTCTGACACTAGAGTGGACCGTGAGAACGACCTAATGGTTCTTGTGGACTACGAGATGAGGTCTACTGCAGTCCTGTCGTTGGGGCGTCGTGGTCGAGTGCATAAGCGACCTGCGACGCCTAAGGAGGCGACGCAGGTTTTAAGGAAAACGGGTGAACGTTCCCTTGGGTTTTACAGGATAGTATTGGCTTTTCTAGCCGGAGAATCACCACAGAATCACTAGTTCTACAAGTGGTAGGTATAAATGCATTTTCAAGATTTCTTGCCTAATTACTAGAAATATTTTTACCTAATGATTATGTGGAATATGAATTATTTAATTATGCAAAATATCCAACATCGTTTTACTGGCAATATTAAAAAAAATATTATAGGCATATTAATATTGTGTTCAATAAGACACATGCCTAAGTAAAGCAAGGTAGTAAATGTATACTCTATGTCCTCTATGCACGCTGTAAAAAAAAATAAAGCGTTACTTATGTGTAAAAATTTAATTTAACGCGTATTTAAGATACGTGGATATATAGCCAATTCTTTTTTCGAGAAGGTTAATTTTATATTTTTGTTTACCAAGGAAAACGCGAGCGAGCTTACCTTTACGCTATAACTGTAGTTATATAGCTTCCTCAGAAGGGCACATTTTACCCCTATTAAGTACTTGTTATGATGAAATAAGTGATTTTCAAAATGATTAATATCTATTAAACATTACTTAGTTAATATAATTAATAAATATATATATAAAATCAACTGTAATTCGCTCAAGCATATTTCAAAGTTTATTTATCTATTTGTTTATTAATGATAATCCAACAGAATAAACATTAATACATCACAATATAAAAAAAAATCATCTTGAATTACAAGGTGTAAGAAAGATGTTATTGTTTTTTTATAGAAGTACCTACTATATATTTAATCTATACATATAATAAAATTCTAACAGAGTCAAATCTGTACATTAAATATTTTTTGGAAAATCTTATTGAAATAGACATTATTATCGATAGTGAGGCCGAATCTATAGTTTTTAGATTTTTTGTCTGTCTGTCTGTCACCGCATCACAGAAAAACTACTGGAGGGATTTTGATGAAATTTGGTATGGTTATAGCTGGTTATCCGGGTCAACATATAGGATACTTTTTACCGTGGGAAAATGTCTCATTTCTGAGAAAAAATACAAAAACTGCAATGTAAGAGTATACTAATATGTAAAATCTAAGAATTTGGTTTTTGGTCATTTGAACGCGGGCGGAGCCGCGGGCAATGCTAGTATAAAATATAACTTATAAGTATTGAATTATTTATATACAACTATTTATGTAGCGTACGTTGAAAAAACAAGCGAGCTCTTTCTTATGCAAACTTTTCTTTTTAGTATCGTCATATTCAGCTCCTATATATAATGTTATAGTAATTTTTCAAAAACTTTACTTTACTAATTCTTCTGGAGAAACGCAGATAATAACAGTAAAATTGTATCCAAGTCGCTCAGTAATTGTCGATAATAGCGGACAACAACAGCAGACGCTCGCCGACGAATTCCTTTTAGGTACATATATGTGTAAGGATAACGACGTGAATCACGCTTACACGCTGTTAATGTACCTCATAATTATTGCGGTAACAGAATTATATGAATACATAAAGGACAGCTCCCTTTATCCCAAATGATATAATAAATTTCGTAACCTTAGTCCTCTTTGATATCAAAAAAGGTTCAAATATTACCTGCACATTTATAATTTTTTTTCATCCAAAATTAAGGTGTTATTTATAAATAAATAATATACATTGGAAGATTGTTTTGCAAAGCAATTCTATAAATAATAATATGTTGGGACATTAACACACAGCGCCATCTAGTTCCATGGTAAGCGAGGCTTGTCTTATTGATGAATGAGGACCATTATATTCTGTTTAGAATCTTTATTTCTCATTAAGAATAACAAATTCACTTACATGAGAAAACAAATTAAATATTGTAACATTCACTAAATGCGAGTACGTACAAGTTACATTTATGATAAATACATAGCATGCGTGTAATCTTAAAAAATAATATTTAAAATAATATATTAAACTCTCAAACCTACATTTGGGTTATAAGTCTGACTTAGGAAAAACCTTATACAGAAATATATAATAAGCTCAGTACTGTCACAATATTCTTTGTGAGACCACGTCATGGAAGAATTTCCTTTCTATTAATCAATCTTTTTTAAATAAAACAAAGTCGGGTTAGTTACGCAATTTATAACTCACCAACGGCTGGACCGATTTTCATGATATTTGATAATAAATATTTTACATCTATTTAAAACATACCTAGTGAAGAACGAACCCGAGCGAATCGAGGGTAAGTTAGGCTAAGGCTAGTTTAAACTAACATTTCCATTTATATTTTAGATTTTTTTTTTGCCTCAGAGGCTCTCGATGTGATGGGTCTATAAAGTTACTGGTTATACATGCTTTGATTTCTTCAATGGTTCCCATTACTCCGTTACTTTTTAATTGCCTCGGTGGTATAGTGGCTAGCTTGTAAGGCCGTAAATCCCGAGTTCTTGGGTTAGAGTCCCGGGTCGAGCCAAGTTCAGTTATTGAGTATTTCTGTCAAGAAATTTTCAGTAACAACCAGGAGAACATTATTATTATACATGTATAGTATTGTATTATCGGTAGTTGTACCAGCAAAAAATTTCAAAAGCGAAACATTTTCCTTTTAAAGTCACAACGTTATCAAGTCTTTAAAGTTATGGGACTCTATAATAATAAAATTTTGTGTCTTATAAATCTGACTGAAAGAGAAATTATAACTTTTCAGAATGAATCTTCCTTTGAGGCAATCGTAATAATTAATAAAACTTCTAACAAGAACTATGTTATAAGACCCATGAAACCAAATAAAGAACGAAACTTTTTAACAGATTCATTACTAAGCCACAAAAATTCAGCAAGCAATTAATATTGCCCGTTCCACTGATTTCGGTCTCGGACACTAATACAGTACCCAGTAACACAGTAGATATTACAGTGCACATGAAATTATGAAATTTTTAATAACTCAATAAGCTATGGCAAAATGCATTTACGCATGCATATTGTTATACTCATGGTGGTCATGTGGACTCACCGGCTAGAAAAGACAGCGCTACCCGCTAAAACCTAACAGACCTCCCCCGTCTTAAAGGGGCGTCGCAGAATCGGTTACACACTCAGCCACGCTACCCCGATGGCAGGTGTTCTAAAGCAGACCACAACGATCAAGAGGTAGCTCCTACGGTCCATTCTGCTCTAAAGGCTGTAAAATATGAATAGCCCCAAAATGTGTATTTCTATTGGGTATCTCTGTATCCACAAGGTAGATGGTCCCATCTAGACAGTCTTATGGGTTGTATGTTTCGAACAAAACAGAAAAACAGGCGTATATAAAGCCAAAAACTAGCACCTCGAATGACATTATATTACTTACTAGCGGCTTGCCATCGCTTCGCTTGTGCTCGTCGCTAGGTACGCTTTAAATAGATATAATATTAGCCAGCGTTAGTCATATGAATTTTATTTTTTTTTCGCTAATTTTTCTGATGTTTTAAATTTATTATCCTATTCCGGACTTAGAGAAATCCAAAAATTCAAAATTTCATAAAAATTGGTCCAGCCGTTCTTGAGTTTTATGTCACGTCACATGGGATCGCGGTCGAGCGGGATAAAAAGTATCCTATGTCCGTCTCCTGGTACTAAGCTACCTCCCCACCAATTTTCAGCCAAATCGGTTCACCCGTTCTTGAGTTATAAATAGTGTAACTAACACGATTTTCTTTTATATATGTACTAGCGGCTCACCCTCGCTTCGCTCGGGTTCGCCTCTAGAAAAACACTAATAAAAATCTATTAGTTCCCACGGGAACCGTTCATTTTTCCCGGATGAAAAGTAACCGGTTGTTTGACCGGCAATATAAGGTATCAGAATGTTAAATTTTACGAAATTAGGTGCATAAGTTGTATAAGTTATAATAGTTTTTTAATTATCCCACGGGAACCATTATATTTTCGTGGATAATAAATATCTAAGACGTTGTCCGGGGATATAAGGTACCACCATGCAAAGTTTCATTTAAATCGGTCCAATAGATTCGGAGATTAGCCCGTACAAACAGACAAACATACACACAATATCACACGGGAACGCAGTCGAACGGGATAAATAATATAAAGTATCCTATGTCCGTCTCTGGGTTCTAAGCTACCTCCCCGCCAATTTTCAGCCAAATCGGTTCAGCCGTTCTGGAGTTATAAATAGTGTAACTAACACGACTTTCTTTTATATATATAGATAGATATTAATAAAAGTGAAATATAAAACAAAAGAATTTGAAATTTCAGGTTCAAATGAGGTACCTGAAAACGAGAACATGCAGCGCACGAAAAGGATTGTGAAGGATTTGATCGCCATCGGCAAGAACAGCGGTATCATCGGCCCGATCAAACGTGCCTTCGATATGTTTTATCCTCAAGGAAAAGTTTGACGTTACTATGATATGTAATAAATAAATTTGGGCATATTGTATAATTGTAGCAAAACATAAGAACTCTCTCACTCCTCTCTGTCACTTTTCTTGGAATAATTTCCTTCTATTATTTCCTGCTTGAAATATAGATATGCTTTTTCCGATTAGTGAAAGCATTGAATTAATACATAATTATCACCAACATACAGAGTCGAAAAATTCAATTCATGAGAACAGGAGGTAAAATTAGATTCCAAAATCTAGAAACCTGTACCTCATCATCCATTCCTTAATATTTGGTCATATCCCACGCATTAACGCCGCTCAATGGCAGATTACTACAGCCCCACGTAGCTACAAGTAAGTGTGTCAGTAAGCTTCATGTTTATTGACTAATTGAAATTTGTATAAGACATTCCTGAAAGTATACCCCATTCAAAGAAAAAAAAAACTATAAAATCGGTTTACAGGTGAAAAGGAAGATATTAGTAAAAAAAAAAACACCCGAATTGAGTACTTCCTGTTTAGGAGTTAGTCAAAACACGATAAACTTTTGCATTTACAGCATTTTAGCTCTCACAGTTACCACGTGGTGCCCAGAGCCTAAAATTACTGCGATAATCTGAGCGCTAATGTCAAAGAAGTTAAAGTCCAAGCATCGTGAAAACACTTTGTGAAGCTTTTAATTACATATTTTAAAATCTTTTCTGAACTCGTCGAGAAAACTTTTATTGCATTCGCATCCAATCTTTGAATTTTAAGGCCGGATCCACACTACAGTAGCGATCACAGTTCGCTTTCGGTCCGATATCGGTCTGGTAAAGTATTGTTATACAAAAAACAATGAGTGCATTCACACTATCAGTAAGACTCACGTTCCGGTCGAATCACACTCCAGCAAAGTTTTTTGTATAGAAAATACTTTACCAGACCGATATCGGACCGAGAACGGACTGTGATCGGCACTATAGTGTGGAGCGGCCCTAATCGTTCCTTTGTTATAATTGCCTTTTTCACGAAATAGCTTACATAGATCCTTTATCTGTACAGATAAATAAAATTGAAGTGTCTGTTTGTAATGTCAAAATAACAGTTTTTTGCTAGATGCATATGAAATTGTACACGGTACCTACTTATAAGAAAAAAAAACAATTTTTAATATTTTTGTCTGTCTGTCTGTCTGTTTGGTCCAGCTAATCTCCGAAACGGCTGGACTGATTTTGACGGGACTTTCACTGGTAGATAGCTGATGTTATAAGGAATAACTTAGGCTACTTTTATATTAGAAAAAGAATTAAGGATCTGCTTAAAAAAAAATTACCTAATGTCGCACCTGAGCGACGCGAGGGTAAGTCGCTAGTATTACATAGATGTTTGTATGCAAAATTCGAGTGTGCGAGTGTTCCTAATTGTTTTTCTCCTAAAGAGCTTGACATATTTTGATAAATTTTTTGATAGATGGTTATTAGTTATAGTTGGACCCGATAGTTGGCGCTGTTTTCGACCCAGATTAATTTTAAATTTCAAAACAATGTACTAAAAAATATATCTAAAGACAAGTTCGTATTAGCATATAAGGCTATCTCATAAGATACACTCGCAAAAACTATTTTTATCTACTTAAAACATACCTACGTACGTAGACAACGTAATATGGGTACCGAAGCTAGTTATGGATTTTCTCCTAAAGATGAATAATTACTTTAAATGTCACTTTGAAAGTCTATACAGTCATAAGTCGTCCGTTCATTGAATTATTAGCCCTATGATAATAATTATCGGTCAACTGTGGTCGATTTGTCATGAATATCTATTACTTTTTTATATTCTAACTAGCGACTCACCCTTGCTCCACTGGGGTCGTCCATACTTACGTTTTAACGTTTAGTGTAGATTTCTTTCATTAAATTGACGATTCAAAAGTACTTGTAAAAGTCTAATTGAATAAAGTTTATTTCATTTAAATTCTCAGAGATGAGATATTTTCCCGCAGTAAAAAGTATCCTATATGTTGACCCGGATAACCAGCTACCACCATACCAAATTTCATCAAAATCCCTCCAGTGGTTTTTCCGTGATGCGGTCACAGGCAGACAGACAGATAGACATACAAAAATTCTAAACACTATAGGTTCAGCCTGTGTATTGATAATAATGTCTATTTCAATAAGATTTTCCAAAAAAATATTTTATGTACAGATTCGACTCAGAAATTTATTATATGTAGCTATAGATAAAATAAAATAATTAATTTTGAAGTGCAGGAATTGTTGTGCACAAAAAAAGACCTTACCCTATTGAGCTAAAAATTGATTTTTTAAGATTCCGACTTATCATTATCAAGTTTTAAAGATTTTGAGGTCTAAGATTTTTGATGTGTAAAAAATATTGATTAAGTATTTCGTCAATTTTAATGTTGAATGAAGACGAGATTTTTTTTTGTTTATACTTCAGACTACAATAAATTAATTTTAGTCTGAGATATATACATTGTCATACAGCTTACACGCACCAGATTGTGTTACATTTGTTACCTAAATGAGGTCACAGCCTCAGGCTTTCTGTAAGCGACGTAATCGTTTTGTATATGATAGGAGAGAGTTCGTTCGAAAGTTTTGGCAACGGAGTAGACACACTGAAGTCGTTGAGTTGTACTCGTACATATTTCCACTTTGCCTAAAATCTTTTTCTTTTACAAAGGGCGTTAGGTATGATAAGATACTTTTGTTGAATTTGTTCGTAATTTAACGTAATTTGAGTGACAATGTAATAATCTCAAAATTAGATATTTTTCATGATGCCTTCAATAAATTTAACTACAAACTATTAGAATATTATTTATCCAAAATGTTATTTAAATATAGATAAAATAATTTTTATAAAACTATTGATTACTAATTAACTAAAATCAAATTATTATTATTTTTATTTTTACTTTATTTTATATTTTAAATTATGTTGTTTCTAATTTTAGTTAATTTTGTATTTTTTATCAATTACTATAATAATTCCATAATATTATAAATGCTATGTACACTTGTAATTGATATGCATGTCTGATTCTTTTTTTTTTACTTTAATTATTGTATTGAATTATTTAACATGGTGTATTGTAAGTGTGCTAAATAATAAATAAATAAATAAATCTCCATGAGAGCCAAAAAAAATGTAACATTCTTTCAAAACTTCTTACTAAACTTAACTAGTAACTAGGTTCTAAATAAAAGCGTGTTGTATATTTCTTAATTAAATCAGGATATGGCGATGTGAAGTTTTAATCAATATTCTTTAGCATCAAAAGTTTTCGCTGAAAATCGCAGAAGTGTAATTATTTTTAAAAACTTTCGTCAGATCTCATCATACTGCACTTTCATAAGAAATACTTATAAATGAAATGAAAATATTATTCATTGCTCAAAGGAATCATTTTGAAAATTCACGCAAAAATGCAAAAATAAATTGCTTATAAAGAATTAAACTCGGCTGAAAATATTTTCATAAAACTATAAGTGGAAAATATTCTTAAATAAATATAGTTATTAAGGATTCCTTAAAATAAAAAACTACATATGTATCTAAACTAATATTATAAAGAGTTAAAGTTTGTGATATTGTGAGTTTGTGACGTTGTAGGGGAATAAAATAAAAGATAGTTTGAGACCCTGAGAAGGACATAGAATACTTTTTATCCCGGAAATCGTCCCTTAAAGGGTTGATAATGGGGATGAAAGTTTGCATGGGGAATCAAGCTAGGGACGAACCCGAGCGAAGCAGGTGAGTTGCTAGTGAATACATAATCAGAGACTTAGTCGCCTCGCTCGGAACATTTAAATGTCAGTAGCTTTTATTTTACTCCAGGTGAAAGTCTATCTGTCAATTAAATTTCACCCAAATTCGTCCAGCAATTTCAAAATGAAGAAATAACAAACATACATACAAACTTTCGCAATCATAATAGTACTACTTTCTTTTGCTTTAATTTGATTTTTAGGGTTCCGTACCCGTAGGGTGCCGACGGAACCCTATTACTAAGCCAGTCAGTCAGTCAGTCCGTCCGTCCTTTCCACAGAGTCCGCCCGGATTTTCACAGAGTGTGTATTGCTATTGCAGCTATAACAACAAATAATAAAAATAAATAAAAATACAATAAACATTTTTTATTGTTCGATGTAATATACCTACTATGTACTTGTATATAGTAAATGTCATATTAATAAAAAGTACATGTACGATGGTATGGAACTTCTCTTGACCGATTTTTTTTAGAGATGGACCAGAAGTATATAGTATACTATTTGTTTCTGGTACAATAAATGATTTCTATAGGCTATATATTAGTATTATAAACAATATTTAGGGATCATCAGTATGACAACATATTGGCATAACCCATTTCATTTACCGAACCTGTCAATTAAAAATGATTTCTCAAAGCACCCAATAAATCCTAAGATATATGTCCGATGATATTGTCATGGAGAAGCAGTAAGAGTAAAACTTAAATGCTGATTCAAACATAAATATTTATTTATTTTGAAAAATCGTTTTGTTAGCGTCGTCATGTCTTCAACTCATCGTTTAATAACGTGAAAAATGAGACTGATTTATTGTATGGAATGTCACATTTGGTCTTAGGTCATTTTACAGTAATTAAAAAATAGAAATTAATATTTTATAGAATAATAATTATTCTTATAATATTATAAATATTCTAACAATTGATTATAATTAATATAAATTGTATTGAAATGATAAATGATATCGTTATTTTACCGAATCATAATACCTATGTCATCTATACATATGTTTTTTGTAAAGTTCTATTTTTCAACGATTGCGGAATTACATCTTGTCTAGTATCCCTTGCTACTTTCAGGCAACCCTTTTCGGCTTCTTGCTGATACTGTTTATGCTATAAATTGTTCCTATGCAAATATCATGTATTGATCCGTTCAGAATTGCTTAACGTCCATGGACGCGTTTATAAATAAATAAATAATATGTTGGGACAATAACACACATCACCATCTAATTCCATGGGAAGCTACGTGGCTTGTGTTATGGCTACCAGATAGTTGATATCCTACACATGTATAACTTTAAATATATACATATTATAAATATAAACACCCATGACCGGAGTATAATCATTCGTGCTCATCACACAAATAAATACCCCGACGCGGGACTCGAACCCGCGACATACAGCTACATTACACGCGCATTAAGAAATCGTTATGAGCATAGGCACTAAAATGTACAAAAGATGAACATTAAACTTGCATTTGCATTTTTTTTCCAACATTCCAGTTCACATAAACACGGCCATTCTTAGTGGCTAGGACCTAATTCTATTCTAATAATTTGTCAAATTTCAGTCAGAGGTAAAAAAACATATTTTTCTGTTTTCCAAGGCCAATATCTATCATGGATGAAAAATTTTGTGCATATTTAGACGATAATTTACTGCGTTCTAAAAGTCTTAACATTTTTATTAGTTTTAAGTCCAATTCGACGAAATGGCCGTTAAAACTTATGTACATAAAAGTTGAAAAATAATACATTAAAATTGAATTCACTAAACTCGTGTAGCAGAGTACTGTTACGTATAAAAGTAGATATTATATACTTATATAATTAAGGTGTATATCTGTGAAGCATTGTCTCAGCATCTTTCAGAGCCAGTAGTAGCTTGATGAATGGTGTCTAATTCAATTTGATTTATATTAAATTCTGACACAAAAATAACAAAGTATGGGTAATGGGCCTGTTAAGTTGGCACCATTTTTTTATTAATTTGACTTCATTGTTCAATTTGACATTTTCTATGTATGTGTCTATACAAACGGAAGGTTTTAAAGTAATAATATATCCCGCCGAGTTTCTTTCGCCAGTTCTCAGGTTTGAGGCTTCTTTTTTCCGAACTGGTAGTAGAATCATGTTTTCAGTTAAAAATTGTAATAATTTAATGAAATATTTCGATTTTTGAATTTGAATATAGGTATGATTTGAATTTTGTTCAACTAAAGAAAAAAAATAGGTGGTGATAGTGTTGAGTACTTGATTTCCTATTTAATGCTTTTAAAAGGTTACGTGACCACACTTTCCGAGGCACGTCTTTAAAAATATTTAGACCGTTGTATGAACAATATTAAATACAAATAGTAAGCGCTCGTTGAACCTAAGAGTCGATGTTCCTCAGGCTTCCCCATATAGTGTAGGCCGAGTAGTCTTTCATATTACCACAGTAGGTACTTTTTAGTACAGACATTCTGTTTAATCGACTGCGAGGGTTTTGTGTTTTATGGTTTATACTTGTTGTAAGTCTTCGACTGCACAATACTGCGTTCTTACGATTTCTTAAAGGGCTGTTTTTCTTGTTTTGTTGTTAAATTATGTTTTACTTTACTGTCATTTCTTAAATTTTGTGTATTTTCACATATATCTGTAGATTACTTCGATTTTATTCAATATAAATAAGTTCAATTCAATTAGGTTCGTGCGAAGCTCGAGCTTTAGGAGGCGTAAATAGTAGCTTATAACTACCATTATTAGAAGTAATAGTTTAAAAAAGAAAAGGAAATCTAATTAATATACAAGAACCTAACGAATATTTTATAATATTTATTAAATATTTACCAAAGCATTACGTGTTTCTCACACTGGTGTCCTGAGCACTGTGGGGGGAAAAAATGAAAAAATAATTAATAAGAACGATTTTTTTGGTTGCTCCACGAGGTTCCCATATATTTATAAAATATCGAAAACAAGAAAATCTAACTTAAAACTGAAAACGTTCGAAAAAATTGTTTATTTAAAACTAAGTTTATTTTTAATTAGTTCAGTACATCCAAAAAGGGTTTAGCTTTCGTCTTTGTGCGCTTTTATAAAAAGCGGAAGTTGAGTTTCATGAAAGTGGACTAGGAAAATAAACATACAGAAAAACAGTACATAGTGGAGAAACCAAATGCAGCATAAAGGGATACAGATTATTAGTCTCTATTACTATAATACTAGAGTCTAAGGTAGACTTTCAAATAGTTTTGTGTTAAATCACAATATTGATTCACAAAATCCATCCATTGAGTCGATACAAGGAACTAGTTATAAATAGATGTGAAGATATAAGGATAGTTACTCTTACCCTAGTTTATAAATTAAACATAGTGTGAAAGAGATCCTATGAAAGCTACAAAATTGGAAAAAAAGAAAAGGAAGGAAAAGCAAACACTTTAGCCCACACAGTAGAGCGAAAAGCTCTTTTAAAAACTTACCCATGCTTTACAAGCAAGACCTGTACACTGAAACAACATTCAATGTTATTTTAATTTTTATTTATTAAGCATTGAACGTTTATACTGTATGTGTAATCTGATAATTAAATTTATTAAACACTAATCTCATATAGATTTATATGTTCAAACTGTTCTGTATAGTCTAAATTTTAGTATGGGATTATATTATCAAAATAACAATTACAGCAATAGAAATACTGTGATTAGTACTATTATGTAATTAACTAGTGGCTTATCCTGGCTTCGTTCGGATTCGTCCCTAGGTACGTTTTAACGATTAGTATGAAATAGACAGACTATATATTATATATTAATACTGCTCCGCTCCCTTGGATAGTAGCATGATGATATATAGCCTTCCTACATAAACGGGCTATCTAATGTAAGAAGAATTTTTCAAATCAGATTAGTAGTTCCTGAGATAAGCGCATCCAAACAAATAAACAAACTACTTTTTTATAATATTAGTTTCATAGTCTAGATTTAAAATAACTGTTACTTACATTTGACACGCACTGATCGCCTTCACACTAAAAGTATTTGCAAAACTGGTAAAGTTTAAAAGCTCTAAAATTAGTTCTGTCTTTAAACATAATCGTGGTATGACAAATCGATCGCAATTCGTTCACTTTGTTTCAAAAACTGTCAAATAAATACCAGTAACAAATGAGAATCTATCGCACCAAAAATGTTTGAATTTCAACAAATCTATTTAAATATCCTATCGAATAATAACCATGTTAAGTTTTATATATGCATATATACATATATTGCGTATTATCAGTTCACATTTTAAAGGGAAGACCTTAGAAAAAAAAATTTGGAATCTGATTTAAAATCAAAAAGAACAATAAATTTTCTATACAAAACAATGGCTAAGAATATCTTTGTTATCTTAAAGCACGTTCAATTTTATATGTACGAGTAAAGCTGAGTATAAAATCATTATCGTGCAAATTCAAAATCTGCCAGTCAGTACTTTTATCTCCTCCGTATCCCTATTATCGGAGTGTCCCTCGAATATTTTCTTAGATTTACGCGAAAATGAAAATTCGAAAAGATAGTTTTATTGAAAAAGACTTCTCGATTTCATAAGTAGTTTATAATACTCTTTGGTAAGTTTGGTATTTGGGAAAAAGAAATAAATTGATAAAATTTATATATAAAAATAAAAATGCAAACAACTAAGTAAAGGTAAGGTAATTTTGAAATTTTATACAGACAGATTTTATTAATATTATAATATTTTTTGTATCAAACTAGGAATAACAATTATTCCAAACGAAATAAGATAACTTTAATCTGAACAGAATGCTATATCATCAGTAAGAAAATTGTTACTTACCCCAGCTTTACACATCAGCCCTGTACACTAAAAGTTAGACAATAAAAAAATTAGGCCCGATGTAGATTTCAATACTCTTTAAGGGCAGTCCAATATACATTTTAAGAAAAATCTACTCCTAAAGGTGGAGGGTTAATAATTTAACTTGGTATTTTATGAAAATTATTATAAAAATAGATACTGTTTGCTATTTTTAGTTTAATTTTAATGTATGTTTTCACTTACATATACACATTTGGTTTATTAGAAACTAAACTAAAAAGTAAGTATGCCTGTAATGATGTTATCAAAGGAAAACGTTTAAACAATAAAGAAGTAGGTCAGTGTGGTGGGACATCCGGTAGAAATGAAGTTCCTTTCGCTATCTGCCCTTGGCTCATAAATTAGGAGTTGGGACATAAAAATTGTCACTAGTACTAGGGTATCATATAAATCAAGCAGCTGTGTATGCCTGTGTTTCAACATACAATATACGTTGTACATGTTGAAGCTCATCGAAGAAAGGCACGAATTTCTTACAAAATACATTGCTTAGTACTTAACATGATCGCCTGTTACTTATGATGAAGTCACATCTTAGTAAATAATAAAAAGTGTCGTAACGGTCGAAATATTACGCTCATTTCTATCTAACTCTCATTCGCTAAGTGTACCAAGTATAACTTGTGACTAGGAATTTCGTTCCAATATGCACCGATTTAGATAATTCTCAAAGTGATTAGAGTGCTTTCGAAACGATTGAATTAGATATCGATGTGGTTTAGTTTGAATAGGATTTGACCAGGAACTTTAGAAGTATCCCACGAACTATACAACAACAATAAAATAAACAAAATTATTTATGTACCATATTCAATACTAGCAACTGACTTTCTTCCGCTCGGGGGCGTCCCTAGGCGCCTGTGTAAATTCAATCAAATTCGTCCGGCCGTTTTAGTCCGAAGGACACATAGATATAAATAAACGAACAATTCCTGTATATTTATTTTTTTATTTATATGTATACTGGCGATTTCGGAAACGATTCTAACGATTTCGGTGAAATTAGGTATGTGGGGGTTTTCGGGGGCGAGAACTCGATCTAGATTAGTCATATGCCTGAAAAAACGCGTCTTTTCGTGTTTTCATGCGGTTTTCTTTTGCATCATTCTACGCAAAATATAGTCGCTAATTTCGCACGCTCGGTCATAAGCATCGTTGTCAAGCGGGCAAAGTGTAAGATTGACTGATACAAAGTTTTTACTTTTGTTTTTTTTGTTATTATTGAAGTTTTAAGTTTTTGTTTTTAAAAATTGTACTCTTGGCCAAAAACTCCTAGCGAAGCTTGGTCGCACAGGTACTTATTGTAATGTTTCATTAAAATCCATCTGGTAGTTTTTGAAAGTGTAACAAACGTCCATACATCCTCACAAACTTTCGCATTTATAATATTAGCAGGATGTGAGTAGTCACTTATCATTCCAAGTCAAGCTATTTTTAAAACCGGCATAGTTCAAGAGTGGTGTAAAACTTACATGCAAACATCCAATTCATAACACCATACACATAATCATACATACATATATGTATACTTTAAAAATACCGGAACAGCGTACAAGTTCCCTAAATATTTTATGTACTTACCACAGACGTGCAGTTATCACCGAAACACTGAAATATATATTTTTATGTATTTCTAAAGTATGATTAATCACATAAGACGTTGTGAGTTCGATGTTTATGTAGTAATTGTTTGTTCTTGCCACTCATCCTCAATTTGATTAGGCCCTAACTAAACTTCCTAAGTTATTTTTCCCAATATACTGGCAACGTACATTATCCAACGTCCGGCTTCTCCAGGTTTTTTTAACAAACTTTGCCACTCTTTTTAAGGTTCCGCAGCCAAATGGCTAAAAAAGGATCCTTATAATTTCGCATGTCCGTCTGCTGTTGCACGTAGGTATAGGTCATAGCTGTTTAACTTTTAGAAATCTTATTTTACCGACCAATCTTCTTGGAATCTTTTCCATTCTACCTGCCTTGGCGAAGTTTAAATTCAAAATTCAAAATATTTTATTCAGCATTAAATTATTACAATTTTTTACTGAACGTCATGAGTCTGCTACACTAAATCTGTGCGCCGCTGGCACGCTTTAAAGCCATTGACAAGAGAATTGAACATTTTGAATAAGAACGTATTAAGAGAATTGAACTGAATAGCTATTTTACTTTAAGATCATTAGAGCTACATTTCACATTAAATCAATTATTATTGCTTACATTTTTTTAATATTTAATATTTCGATATTCCGGGAAAAATTTGGCACTTTATTTCAATCGTACCTTTTGTTTTTTATAATCTCAGGGTCCACCAAAGGAAAATTGCAAAAAAAGAATAGCGTGCTTACGAACTCCTACACGAGTAGTGGCTGTTGTATTTGTTTTGACTAGTTTCGTTAGGTTTTAGATTTTTTCAAAGTGAACACGTTCTGAAAGACTAATCTTTGGAAAAAACGATGTTTATAAAAAATAAAGTACTTAAAGTTAACTCGACATCGTCAATATTGAGCTTAGAAGCTGGAACATCATACTTAAAATATCAATACTTTAAATAAAACAATTATCTCTTAAATTTGAACATAAAGGAGTAATCTCACAGTTGTTACTTCTGCTTGTTATGTCTATAATTTTATATTTAAAAAACAATGTACCTACTATACTTAATATTATAAATGTGAAAGTGTGTTTATTTGTTTGTTTGTTTGTCCTTCTTTCACGACAAAATAGAGAGACGGATTGGCGTGATTTTGTGTAAGGAGATAGTTGGAGGGCTGGAGAGTGACATAGGCTACCTTTTGCAGCGGGAGGTTATCTCATTCTCGCGGAAAACCACGTTATAATGCGACCCAAAAAATTATTCATGATCAGAAAATATGTGTTTTAACATTTTTTGAATTTCGTCCCATAAGAGGGTAAAATAGGGCACTAAAGTTTGTATGAAACCTATCTTTTTAGTTTTTTTTGTAGTTTTAGTGCGAGCGAAAGTTACGCGAGTAAGAAGTTATACTTCTTTGTTTTTATATTTAGCATTTAAATAACAGCTTTCTTTTCTATTTAGTTTTTTTAGTTTTTATTTTATTCGTATTCTTCTTTCATTTGATATCCATATCATGGGGGATACATAAAAAAACATAGTCCGCCATGTTGCATTTACAATGACAGCACTTTGCTTATTATGTCTCGCTCCTTAATCTCTATGGTAATGATAAATCGACATATTGTAACATCCGCCATATTGAGTTAAAAATGACGGCATTTAGGTAATCGTGCTGTCACGAGAACCAAACGTTTGTGCCAAATTTCTGCTCAATCGGATATTAGGAAGTGGGTCAAATTTAACTTGCAAGTTTTGATTACAGTCAGACATCAGGACAGGTGAAATTAAATAAAAGCTTGTAATATTTTTTGTTATTATTGATTTAAAACACGTGTTGTGTAAATACAAATACCGGAATAAATATCTTGAATATAGTCATCACACAATACTAAAGGGAGATTTAAAGGCTAACTTCACACTGTAGTCTAAATCTATCACATCGTAAAAAAACACTCCCATAATTTTTCCCTAACACGCCAAAAGAAGTATAACTTCAAAAATATTACAGTACTTACTGCTACGGAGCATGAATCTGCCATACACTGTAAAAAGATACAAAATATGGAGTTATCAAATACTTTTAATTTAAATTACATAAACTAATTTAAAGAGGACATCGCATGTATAACAGTAAATATATGTATAGTGTAGTGTGTCCACAACCAGGAATGAAGGCTACTTTGGAAAAGATATTAGTGATAATATCATCTGTGCTTGGAATATTGGCTATTTTACAGTATTATAACTTAAACAGCTATTAATTGACAGGATCGAATAGTTTCGCCTTCTTAAATATTTAATACATTGTACAAAATTTAATTCAATTAGATAATATTAGATTTTATCTCACTACTATTTCTAAGTATCTAAGTATATAAGTATATATCTTCACAGTATGTCAGTTGCGCACACTTAGCCGACTGTTATATTGATAATTGATCGAACAAGGAGTATCGTTTTATTAATCTTCAATAATGTTTGTAGGATGAACGATCTTTGGCCTTTTAAAGGTATCTGTTCCTATGATTTCTATTATTTTAATGAAAGACTCACATGAGCGTAACATTGTCGGGTGTCAGTTATCTGTAAATGATATAGAAATTAATGAATAGTTTAAAATTCATATTGTTCCATAATTGTGTGTAGAACGTTATTACACTAAAATATTACTTCTGAACGATGCTTAAGAATGTTAGGATGGTTGTCTGTATATGACAATCTACGACAAAAATAATTAATGCTAAATTGCTATGAGTGAAATAGGGACCAACACTCCAGAAAAGAAATTTGCAAAGGTGTACGGAGAATGTTCAGAATAATTTGTAGATTTAAAAAAAATCATTTGGTAATGGTCAAATATTACGAGAGAGAATAAATAACATGAATTCGAAAAATTTCACTGTGTCAGCCACAGCGTTTTATAGATGTCATAAAATCTCTTAGCATGTATGATGAAAATCTCGAAGTTTTAAAAATACCATAGTATTTTGTGAGTGTAACATTTTCCCCTGCAATAAGCAATTTTATGCTTTAGATCCCGATTATGCTGAATTATACCCTGTACAGTATGCAGATATTAAACAACTTTCGACCCTATAAAGTAAAAGGAAAGTTGGACTGTTTTAGTCGATGGATCTTTTGTTTTTCCATTAGGAAATTGTTTTTCTTGACCTTGTTAATTAAATGTAAATAGACATTAACGTCTAAGTTAATAAATTAAGATGGAACACACAACTCTGTAATTTTCTTAATTCTATCCGTAAATAGTAAACTGTGTATGTTAAATTAAAATTTCAATTAATTAAATTAATTACACTTACCCCTGATGTGCAGTTGTTTCCTGAACACTATGAATTGTAAATATTTTATGTTCTTTAAAAAAGGTCAGGTTAAATAATAAAACTATTTAGTTCAGTCTTTTTGACCGACTTCGGCCAGGGCGGTCGATCACACTGAGACTCGTGAGTTACGCAGGATATATTATAGAGCACACGTATGCAAACACACTTATGTTTGCTAGACGTATGTTCAATAGGGTGGAGCAAAAAAAAATTTTTTTTCTTAACTTGGCGTAGAATTTGTAGCTTATAAAAAACAGCATTTTTGAAGAAAAAAAACTGATTTTTAAAATAAATAATTCAAAAAGTACATCAGAAAAAAAGTTTTAAACAAAAGTTGTAGTGAATAAATGGATCTTTAAAAATGGATCGATGCATTTTATTGATTAAACCAATATTTATGGGCCGAGATAGAAGAACCAGTTAATTACATGGGCCATTAATTTTGTAAACGGTAAGTTTAACAAAAAAAAATCCGGAAACAAAAGATATGAAATTTTATTCTCTACAAAAGTAGTTTCAATAACTTTTACCCTAAAGTGCAAAGTTTTCGAGATATCGACCAAAAACGTTTTTTTAAGATGGCGCCTAAAACTCCACCGGAATCTGTCAGCATTTTGTGATTTTATACTTAGCAAGTAATCCTAAGCCTTATAAAATAAAAAAAATCGGATCGGAAGTGCAAAGTTGACCAAAAAAAACATCTATTTTTACTGTAGTATAATGTTCAAATAGAATTTGGGTTTGGTTACTGTTTCTATTGCAATATTAAAAATTAATTTAATTTTATACATACTCTAGCATCACAGCTACATTTCACGTACTGAAAAAAATGAAAACAATAATACCTTTAGCTATTTATAATATTTTTTGCCCTATTTAGTAAGTTACTTTGATAAAATGTTTATACTTTCAGCATGATTTTATCCTAACCAGTTTTTGTATTTTTTAAATTTAAGAAGTATCCTATATATAGACCCGGATAATCAGCTATCACCACACCAAATTTCATCAAAATTCGTTCACTGGTTTTTCCGTGATGTGGTTACAGACAAACAGACAAAAAATCTAAAAACCCTTTAAATTCTGCGTTTGTATTGATAATAATGATTATTTCAATAGGATTTTTCAAGAAAATATTTAATATACAGATTTGGTTCAGTTAGAAATTTATTGTGTGTATAGATAGATAGACGTATACCTAGCCAGTGTCGGAATAAAATCTAACCCTAAATCTATGAAACGCTGTGCCACAACGGCCTTAAATCGTGATTAAAATATAAAGAAAATTAGCTCAAAATTAGTTTTCTAAATTTGCTTACCGATGGTCTGTAGCTTTACTTAGTTCTAAAAGATTTTCTAATCTCAGGTTAATTACAAAGTTAATCTTTAAAAAACAGTTTGAGATCCAGCTCCTTTCATCCACGCAGAGAAGGACGTAAACTTTGAGATGCGATTTCATTCAAAGCACTTAAGAATGTTCTAAATTCAAGATATTTTAGAATTGACTCGTTAATTAAAAAGTATTAATTGGTTAAGAGAATATTTCGTTTGGATCATTTAATTAAAAAATATGCAAAGTCAGTTAGAAATTATAATTGAAAAAAATATGCCCAATGATTATAGTAGAAAAATCTATAATATTACGGTTTTTAAGACAAAATATTGGCAAGCAAAGGAGTAGTGTGAACGCACTTTAGAGATATTTGGAGGGTTATAAAATAAATGAAGTCACACGGACAGATAGACATAGAGACAGAGAGAACAGACATACAGAAATAGTTAAAATATTTTAACTCCATTCCTTTTATTCCATAATACTTTCTTATATTCCGTCAGATTGGCAATAATAATAAATTAACCATTAGCGATATATCATTTGATCAACTTCAGCAAGATGAGAAAATTGGCTCGCTTTTCTTATAATTGACATTGCAGAAAGCAATTGAGGAAAGCAGTTATCTTTCTTGCCACTATTTCACGCGGACATGACTTTATTAGTAACTGTGCATTTACTTTGTATTGTATATTTAACAATAGATTTAGATTCATTGTATCCATTTTTCTTGGGTGTATGTTCATCTATTATTACATACTTTGTTTAGTACCTACGTATGTACCTACAAAGAAAGTTGAGAAAAAGTGAGATATCTCTTTATACATTAAAAGGATTTCTAAAATAGTGTACTTAAATAAAACTATTTTTTCGGATTTTTTTCGTGGACTTATTTTAATTTTTGGATCCTGACAAAGGAGAAAGAAAATATTAAAGTGTATTTACTTATTTTTTTATTAAAAATATAGTAAAATTTCGAATGACATCCATAGAAAGCTACACGAGGAGAACAATTACAATGGAAGAAGGAAAGTTAATACGCAGAAATCATAGTCTCCGCATTTCTTACTATCCCTATGTCCTATCGATACAGCTGTTGTGGTTCAAAGTGTATAGAATAATTAGTATTGTGGTATTACTAATTGACATAAAGGATTTAGTTTCCAGCATTTTTACGAGCTCGTATATTTCCATTAAGTTTACAGCTGATACGCTCACTTAATTTAGAATCGTAAAGCAAGATGAGATCAAGTCAGCTGCTTTTTAGTAACCTGACTAAAATAAAAATGAACTGTTTTAAAACATTATTCTAGGTAATGTAATTGATATCATTCCACCTGTTTCAAAGTGCAAAATAATTTGAAAGAACTTCAGAAAAGTAAACTACGAGAAAATGAGATGAATAAAGAGTATCAAGAGTAGGATGATTATAAGATTTTTTTTTGTACTTTTAATTAAGTTTTAAAGTTATTTTATTTTATTTGACATTACATATTATTCAGTAATTAATATTATTATTTTTCACTTCCTCTGTAATGTATTCTACCTCAAATAAATAAATAAGGCATATTATACATATTACAATCATATATTTATAGAATATCATATACGGAAAGAATATAATATTATATATTAGTCAGACAATTACAACGGTTACCATGGCAACATGGCAATGTATTCTATCTCATTCTATCGCCGGTTTAATCCTATATATTTATGTGTTTGTCTCTTTTTAGTGTCGCATTTCCGTTTCATCGAGTTTCAAATCACAACGATTCTAAAAAAGTTTACTTTAAAAATTAATATCTTTTTCCTTATGTTAATTTTTCTATGGATTGGCGAAGTAATCTGTGCTCAACTAGCACGTTTTGAAGCCATTAACAAAATAATCGTACTGAATTTATATTAATTTGGCTTTTCTAGTATAATATTTGAAAATATTATTTAGTACCTACAAATACTATATTTGCTTTTATTGTATGTATAGTATCCTTCAATTCGTCTCACGTGCAACATCGAGTGAATGCAAATCACCCTTCCCTAGAACTATGTTTTACAATGAGTCGAACCTTTGGCATTACAAGCAGAATAGTATTGTGCAGGCAGCTGATACAATAGAACAGGAGCTATTGAGAATATCTCAACTAATAAAATATTACAAATAAAACCTGTGTAGAAAATAACGTACCTATAAAGACATTCAAACGGTTGAAAACTTTTTTTAAGTAGACATTGTCACGATGGTTTTAAAATTTTAAAATTCAAAGCTACAGTAGCTGCTAAAGCAAGATAACTAAATAAGTCTCTCCTGTGATCACGATTACCATTTACCGTAAAGCATTAGAAACGTCGAGAACAAAAAAATATTTTATACTAGCTTGATTCCCCATACAAACTTGAATCCCCATTTTCACCCACCTAAGGGATGATTTTCGGGATAAAAAGTATCCTATGTCCTTTTCAGGGTCTCAAACTATCTACTTACCAAATTTCGTCTAAATCGGTTTAGTAGATCCAGAGATTACCCTCTACAACGTCACAAACTCAAAATCTCACAAACTCACAAACTTTACCTCTTTATAATATCAGTATAGATTTATTTAAAATGTCAAATATTCGCGTAAATATAAGAAAGTATTATGTAAATAAATAACCTTTCTGACGCCAGAAAAACTGCGCAAAATACATTTATCTTAATTTAATACTTAGATAATTATTATTTTTATTGCCGTTTGAGTTTCTCTCCAAATTTATAGAGTACTATAAGTACTAATCGTAATTGTACGTGCCAGCTAAATTTCTAGCAATACAAGTGGTTAATGAATCTACCTCAATAATATATCAGCCATGTTACAAATTTGTATTATTTTTGTGTGACAACGTAACGCTAGAAAGATTGAAAATAGTTTTAAAATAGTTGATTCATCCTAAATTTCTATCAAATACAATTATTTCTAAACACTAATAAATAATCAAAAACCGTCTGACGTTTTATTACTATATAAAGATTAGTTATATTGTATCTTACCTCCAAGTACATGACAGCAATAAGCATCTTGTATAGTGGTTTCATCGCGACTGTATACAGTTACGTCGCACTTAATGTACCTATTTGGTTACGGCGGTTGATTCTTATGTATGTATATATATGGACGTTAGATATATACATACTGCCTGTTTTGTTAGCTTAGTGGGTATATCGTATATGGATGACATATTTATCTATATATATAAAAGAAAGTCGTGTTAGTTACTTCGCTTATAACTCAAGAACGGCTGAACCGATTTAGCTGAAAATTGGCAGGGAGGTAGTTTAGAGCCAGGAGAAGGACATAGGATACTTTTTATCCCGTTCGACCGCGTTCCAATTTTTATGATATTTTAATTTTTGGATTTCTCTTAGTCCGGAATAGGTAAGTATTAAAACATATAATTAAAATGTGAGAAAGAAAGATTTTTTCTTTTTATATCTATTTAAAACGTACCTAGCGACGAACCCGAGCGAAGCGAGGGTGAGCCGCTAGTTAGATATAAAAAAAATATACTTTCTTAGCTTACGTAATATGTGGTGATTTTAACTAATACTTACTATGTTTTCTGTTCTTTTCGAGTTTTATTTAATTTTTAATTTTTTACACTGCGTGTACTTAATCAAAATTATTTATACCAACTAGGGGAGGCAGGCATTGTCACCCCAGAGACTTCAAAAAAACCTTTTTTGGTAAATAAATAAAAAATATGGATCTCAGCAACATCGCCACCTATCCAATTATAACTAAGAACCGTTCAGGTACACAAAAAATCATCAAAATCTGTCAAGCCTTTATGAAGGTCAACAGTGATGAACACACACACATCAGAATTTTATATGTAAATATTTATAGCTGTGCTTACCCCTTCTTTACATATACTTAATATATTATAGTTGATATCTCAAGGGGTATCGATTCGCTGTATTGTTTCCAGTCGTGTATTGGCAAGAAGACAAATATAGCTCGACTAAACTAATCAATTTGAGTGCTTTCAAGTATCTTTAGATGATTTATTATCCTAAATTATACTTAAAGCTATTAGCCAATAAAACCTTTTTGTTGGAGAGTTTTGAGTTATTGCAAAACTTTAAAGGTCATTTTCTAAAGATATCGATACCTTTTTTGATATATTAAAGAATTTTTGCAAAAGGCGTGATAGTGTGCGGGTGCTTGTTGCTTGAAAAAGTTACGTTTAAAATATTTAGCATATTTTGATGAAACGCACAGCATTACCTGTATCAACATGAGTACTCATAATGCATGTGCTAATTAAACAATGTGCTATTTTTATCCCGGAAATGCATTTCTGTGAGATAATAGTTCAACCAAAATTTTAATATTATTATATTATACATATAACAACATTCAAGTTTAGAAATTTCGATGACGACACGTTTGGCTCAATTTGTACCCTACTTGCCGTGCCAGCAGCCGCGGGTTCGAGTCCCGCTGGGGGCATTCATTTGTGTGTTAAGCATGAATGTTTGTACTCAAGTCGTAGGTATTTGTATTTATAAAATGTATGTATTTAAAATTATATAATGTGTAGTATAACAACTATCTGGTATCCATAACACAGGCCTCGTAGCTTACCATGGAACTAGATGGTGCTGTGTGTTAATGCCCGAACATATTTATTTAACTCTTGTGAAATATTCAAAGTTTTGTCCCAATTATATTTGTTTATGAAAATAAATGTATGATAAAAATGCTAAAGTAACTCTTTTCATTACGGTTCTTTAACTTTCATGAAAAAAGACAATACTGTTCGCTATATCGTGCGCCCGAAGAGCTGGTAAGTTGCTGCATTTGATTATAAATTAAGTATTTTTATGTACATTATAATAGGTATTATTGGCAGTTTGTATAACATAAAGCAAGCAAATCTTATGAATTAATTACACATCTCTTAACAAATATCTCTTCAAAATGTGAACTCGACATGTGGAGGAAGTCAAACCAAAGAATAAAACTTAAAAATCGAACGTTTTAATAGTCTAAGCACAAATTCGAACTTACGCACCGCCCATAAAGTACTTTTAATCAAAACGCTTTTCGGGTGACAAAATTAAAATGCAATGTCGCATATACACAATAGCAACAAATGGCGCAATGCCGCGAGTTAAAAATGTTTATTTTCTTCTTCTATGTCCTCGCCTTATCCCGTTACGCGGGTTCAGCTTTCCTTATCATGCGACGCCACGTAGATCGTGTGTTCGCGTCCTCATCGGTGAGGCCGAGGCATTTCATGTCCCTCTGGACATTCGTCAAGTAGCTTGGGGTCTTCCCCTGCCCCTCTTGTAGCAATGGAAAGGCTTTTTCACCACATAATTGTTGGGCCTACGCATTACGTGTAAAAATGTTTATTTTGAAAAAAGAAAATCGAATCGAATCGAATTGAAAAAAGTTTATGCGGATGCTATAAAATAACTAGACTGTTATTATTTTACACAAGCGTTGAGAAGTAATTGTTGCTTGTAAATGATGTACTCGCTTAAATAATAACAAGTTACTTTATCTCTGAGTTCCAAAGCCACAAATGTAGTTTACAAAGTATAAATTATCGATTTTTCCAATTTTTAAAAATTTTAATCGTGTAACGATGACTATACAATGTTTTTATTTTTCAAAAAGTAGAGTTAGAGAGTAGAGCCCTATTTGAATATTGAACGATTTTTTTTTAAATGTAAACGTCCACTTGAAGTTGGGGGGTGAGTTTTAGCCACTCGAGACGATAAAACATACTTTTGTCGGAAATGGCTAAATATTTCAATTTCATTTTTTTTTATTTATAAAATGTTTTTCGAAGATTACATTACGAATACTTTGAGATTATTGTAAAAAGTGTTATTATAAAAGTTGTAGATTTTTCTAGAACTTACAACTTTTGTACAAAAAATTTTCATTAGAACGTCACAGTAAGCGGGAAATTGAAAAAAACTATTTTTCAACGCTTTGCGTCCCACCATTTCTCAGGGGTTCAGGTTAAGCTGGGCATCGGGGGCATTTTACGAATTTCGATTCCTTATATACCTGCTAACATTTTAAAATCATAAAACTTCAGGTTTAACTTAGGTTAAAAATAAACGGATTCCAATTATTGGTCTAACAGTCTAACAGTATATCGCCGCTCAGCGGGAGAGCGCCTAGCGTACTCCCCACAATTCTAATTCCACGGTATATTTGCTGTAAAATCAAACGACTATAATAATTGTGAAAGTGTGTATTTAAACTTTCATACGATATTTACGCACTGTTACACTTGTACTACTACTGTTATAATACTGTTATACATATACACGTGCATGTGTTATCGAATTGTAGGTTGGCGTTAAACTGACACCAAGATAGCAAGCCAAGAGCCCAAAAACCCAAGCTGAGTGTGGGTAATTCGCTAGTGAACATAAAAGAATAACTAAATAAGACTTTATGTCTTCTCAATTACAAAATGTATGAAAACAGAAATAATAAAATTAGGTAAATACAATAGTTTTCTAAAATAATAATAAATGAAGACATTTCTCAACACATAGCTCGTTTAGTGGAAAGGAGAATTTTATCAAATCTCTTGAAAAAAATTATCGAACCTAAGGCATTATTATTGAAACCAAAACGAATTCAAAATTATGTGGCTATTAATTTTATCTAGCCTGCATACAGCGTAGGTTTTCTATCAATATTTTCCATGCATGTCGAATAGCTCTCGAACGGTTATAAAGCGATAAGCGGCAATAAACCCTGATCACGGTCGGCGTGAGATGAATCGTTTTAAATTGATATATCTCCTCCACGTATGTGCTGTGTGATATAGTCTAAAAAAGTGAGAAGTTATAAAGAAGCTTAGAAGCAAAAAGATCTGTCCATAAATGTAATAGGGAACAAAACATCAAAATATATTCGTGAAACAATCTGAAAAGATTTTTTTTCAAAAGTCAAATATCCACATGTGTCTATCCCATAGACGTAGAGGATGAACTGAGCAATATTCTCATGTAATTGACCACTCTCTAGAAAGAGAGAAAGTGACCGCGCGGCCAATAGGTACATGTCTTTTATTCCAATTTGAATGTATGCATAAATCGAATGTGAAACAATTATAACAGAGTGTGATAGAGGAAAAATGGTTATAAATATTTATTTTCATGAATCGTATTTCTATAGGTACAAATAATAAAATTTTAACTAAGCCGAATCTGTACCTACATTAAATATTTTTTTTTGAAAATCTTATTGAAATAGACTTATTATCGATACAGAGGCCGAGTCTATAGTTTTTAGAATTTTTGTGTCTGTCTGTCTGTCTGTTACCGCATCACGCAAAAACCACTAGAGGGATTTTAATGAAATTTGGTATGATGATAGCTGGGTATCCGGGTAAACATATAGGATACTTTTTACGGCGGGAAAATATCTCATTTCTCAGGAAAAATACAAAAACTGCATTGTAAGAGTATACTAATATGTAAAAACTAAGAATTTTATTTTTGGTAATCTGAACGCTGGCGGAGCCGCGGGAAATGCTAGTCAATTAATATAGAAGACGTCTTGTGGCCGCACATTCGCTTTGTCTCTTTCGCGACTTTCCACTATTTTTGGCTTACGAATTTTTTCTATCTACGAATAGTTGTGGTTGTTTTTTTTATAATACGTCTAAATATGTCACATTGAAATTATAATTCTATAAATCATATTTATAATCTTTACACTCTACTTTCAGGCCTTCGCGTTCCTTATTATTTTATGGTTTGGTTAGAATTTTATTTTTTATATGCAATAATAATACCTAAACGATCATATATCTGTAGGTGTATTACAAGTACAATAATAAATTAAATCAAATTTAGAAGAAATACATATTCTAGAATGTAAAACAATTACACTGTACTTAAACTTATACTACTAAAAGTCTTTATTTTAAAAGTTTAATTGAACTAATTTTATTGTTAGTAGCAATTTACAATTGATTTATGGTCTCTTTGTTACATATATTTCGAATTACCATTCAATTTTGAAATCCAAATAAAAGAAAGCTCTTTATCCT